TTGCGACAACTGCTGCATCCTCCTGCATCCCGGGAGCGCTGCTAACGTCTACTGCTTCATTTAAAAAACCATGGATTGATCCAGCGGGGTGGATGGGTTTAGGGCTCCCCCCACTGGATTAAGTTTAGTATTGCGACACAGTGAGGTGTAACGAAAGATAAGGAAAAAAATGAGTTACCTTAATATCCAAGATTCAAAGATAGTTTTTCACACTAAATAAGATTTTTATCAGATACAAAGTTTACATTTTCTATTGTGTTCCAAATTAATTTACTATGACACAGTAAAACATATCTTAATTCTGACACTAATGTAGAAATCTCACAGGTCTTAGCTTAGACCAAGATTATTTATATAGCTTGTATACCGGGTAGTTTTAGTAAGTAGGCTAATTCTGGACAGGGAGCAGCAACAATAGGCCTCATATAAAAGGTGTTTTGAACTGGTGTTCAGTAGTGAATTGTGTTGGAATGGAAATCACAATTTGAAAAGAGACCACTAACATTAATTTTGTGAATTATCTTTCACTAGATCAAGACTAAGTCAGGCATGGAGCCTCAGCGAGCAGGGAAGAAAAGAAAAGACAGTGATATTAGAGATTTTTTCAGTAAGAAGGGAAAGACAGATGCAGGGGATTATCAGGTATTTTTTTTATGATCATTTAAATATTATCCATATAATCATGGCCCGATTTCATAAAGACCCACTTCCCCACATTCTGTAAATGAGTGCCAGGTTGACTGTCAGCTTGTCAGCTCTTGACCAACTACCTTACCTGTTCTGTTTCAGTCTTGGTTTTATTCAAGTTTCAAGTTTCTTTAATCGCCACATGGCTAGGCCGGTGGAATTTTTTCACAGTGCAGGTGGTAGCTGCAATAATACACCACATTAATTTAAACAGACATTAAACAATCCACAGGAAAAAACAAGACAGGAACATGACATAACATATGAAACGGGGTACCACGGGACATAATACTCAGACTTCACATACGTCGGCCAGAGGAGTTCAGCAGTCGTACAGCAAGGGTGAAAAATGAGTTACTATAGCGCTTTGTTGAACCGCCCAGAGATCCGAACCTTCTACCCGAGGGGAAGACCAGAATAGATGGTGAGCTGGGTGCGGTGGGTCATCAATTATTTTGTATACTCTTGTGATGGTATGGTGTTTGTGGATTGAGTCCAGTGTGGGAAGTTTACAGTTAATAATTTTGGAGGCCCTTTTTATCACCCTGCCCAGTCTGTTTAAAATGTGCTTTGGTGTGTTGCCGTACCATGTGGTAATAGATAAAGACAGAATATTTTGAATTATGGCAGTGTAGAATTGTACCAGTCAATTCTTCCTGACTCTGTATTTCCTGAGTTGTCTGAGGTGGAATAGTCGTTGATTTGCTGTTTTGAGGAGGTGAGTGGTGTGATGATCCCAGTTCAGCTTGTTGTTAATGTGTGTACCTAGGAATTTCAATGAGTCTGTAGCAGAAATGGATTGGTCGTTAATGATGATGGGTGTCAGGGCCACGGGTCTGTAGTCGTTGAGGCTGGAGGTTTTGCCTTTCTTGGGTATGGGAATTATGGTGGATTTTTTGAAGAGGGCTGGGATCTTCATTTGCTGGAGTGAGGAGGTGAAGATGCCAGCGTAGACTGGTGCTAGTTGGACAGAGCAGTGACTTAGGCACGCAGGTGTGATGTTGTCTGGACCTGCAGCTCTGCCTTTGTCCAGCCTCCAGAACATCCTCCTCACCATGTTTGTGTCGATGGAGAAGGGTGGAGATAAGTGAGGGGGAGGACTAGGCCAGCTGTCTGGGATGGGCTTCTCAAACCTAGTAAAATAGGTATTCAACCTGTCTGGGAGGTGGGGGTCTGCGTTTGAAGGGGGGAGGGATTTTTTCTTGTAATTGGCCAGTTCATGTAGACATTTCCAGACTGCTTTGGTGTTGCTAGAGTCCAATTTATCCTCCAGTTTGGTGGCATAGGATGTTTTTGCCCTCCTAATGGCAGCTCTTAGCTCATATTTAGCTGCTTTATAGTTCTCAGTATCCCCCTCCCTGTACGCAAAGTTTTTCTTTCTCCCTAATTTGACTAAATCTCGTGAGAACCAGGGTTTGTTATTGTTAAAAGATTTAACGGATTTAGTGGGGATGTGGAGGTTAACACAAAAGTCTATATATGAGGATACAGTGTCTGTGTAAAAGTCCAGGTTGTCACAAGCCTCATAAAAAACACACCAACCAGTGCAATCAAAACAGGCTCTAAGTGTGTCAATAGCATCAGCTGACAAGAGCTTTACTTTCCTAAATTGTGGTTTAGCAGACCTAACCTTCTGAATATAGGTAGGAACTAAGTGAATCATAGCATGGTCGGAGTTTCCGAGGGGTGCATTAACCTGCGCACGGTAGGCGGATGTTATTGTGCTGTAGCAGTGGTCGAGAATTTGGTCTTCTCTTGTTGGACAGTCAATGTGTTGTTTATAGTTGGAGAGTTCTTTTGATAAATTGGTCCGGTTGAAGTCCCCCAGCACAGTGATGTTGCAGTCGGTGTTGTTCCGTTCCACGTCGGAGATGTGGTGCGACAGCTCGTTGATGGCCAGGGCGCCCTCTTCAAGTAGATGAGGAGGTGGAATGTAAACTCCGGTTAGGATTACCGACGCAAATTCGCGGAGAAAGTAGAACGGCCTGCATATCACGGATACGAATTCGAGGTGGGTAGAGCAGTACTTGTGCAGGAGTGTGGAATTGTTGCACCAGCGCTCGTTGATCATGAAACAGGTTCCACCACCAGGCTGAGCGCCTCAGACCTGTCGGCACGGAACAGTGTGAAGCCTGGAGGGGAGACTGCAGCGTCCGTGACCGTTTCATCCAGCCATGTCTTAGTGAGGCAGATCGCCGAACAGTTCTTGAAGTCCACGTGGGTTTGGATCAGCAGCATAAGATCATCGAACTTGTGCTTGAGTGATTGGACATTGTCGAGCCATAGAGATGGTAGCGCAGGCTTAAAAGGGCTTCTCCTTTGAAGGGGGGATACAGCTTGCAGCTGCGTCGTTCTTGCCATATCCCACAGTTCCTGGTGTAGCCTCCCCAGCCAGGTAAGGTGTCGTCTACACGTAGTTTCTCAGGCAGAGGGCTGTCAAAGTATAATCCATACGCTGCATTTCTTAACTCAAGCAGTGTGTCCCGGTCGTATGTGTAGACACATAGAACAGACTTGACACATAAAACAAACAGAAAAACTAAGACAAACGCCCGTTGTATTGTCAGAGCATGTACTGTGACTGGCGTCAGTACCGCCATCTTGCCCAGTCCCGGGCTAAACCGACGCCTCCCATTAGAGGTGTTACGGAAATGTCCCACATATTATTTCCATAGGAAAGAATGGAGGATAAAAGAAAAGAAAGGCGAGAGAGAGAGAGAGAGAGAGAGAGAGTGTGTGTGTCAGGAGAAGAGGGATGAGGAGAAGAGGATGTGGTTGAAGTTTAAGTTTTTGACTAATATTGTCTCCTGTTGTTGTTGCCTGAATATTTGGGTTCATTCTTCTGTTGTTTGTAAAAGAAAACATTATATTTTGACTACCTGTGTGGGGTATTGTGACTATAATCTAATCCATAGTATTGATAGTGATAATTGATATTGATTGATATATAAAGTTTCTTAATTTTGCTCTGAAATCACAACAGCTTGCTCTTTCTGCTATTCTCACATTGCTACATTGCTTCACGGGAAGGGGGGGGGGCTTGCCATACCTTGTCTGAAACTGAAATGACGCCACTTTTTGGTGGGATGAGGGGAACTTACGTGTTTTGCTAAGACACTTTCTTTGTTTACTATTGCTGCAATGAATGCAGGAAACAATAATTCATACATTAAAACACATTTAGGTTAGTTATTTTGAAATAAGTAAGGTAACAGTCTTCCTTCTATACAGCCTAATACAGACCTAAGAGTTAAAATGTTGCTGTTTTTATTGTTTAATGTTTAATTAATAAGGACTGAAAATTTTCCTACTTCTGACATTAAAAAAATGATACAAGCAGCATGACATGTTCATTCGTTCTACTTTATTGTAAAAGATGTACTTACAGAACAGACAGACAGCAGTCATATGAATGAATTTTTGTTGACTTACTCTAATTTATGATTATGTATTATTTATTCATATTGTTAAGTTGAATTAGGACTAATGTTTTTTTATTTGGGTGTCCTGACAGGCTGTTTTTTTTTTTTTTACTACTGAAGAAATGTCGATTTGGACTACAGCCACAGGAACTTTCAGGAAGGACTGTATTAATGACTATTATGGGACATGATGATTTAAATTTAATGACACTGACAGAAAAAAGGATGGGGATCAGAGAGAGGTGCTCAATGTGCCATTACTCCCACACTGCACATCTTTCATCACTACCCACATTTCTGGGAAGGGTTAATAAATTCCTAGCCTTGATGCCAAACATGAGCAATTTTCTGCCGCTACAATAAACATTTTAAACCAATTCAGATCAATTTTCTTAGTACGCTGTTTTTATTGTCCTGTAATTTACTAGTTATGAAGGTAAGACCAAATTTAACACTAATAGTAGCCGAAACAGGGCTCATGATGAATTTTCTGTTTTCTTAATACATTTGCAGGTGTCTTTGTTGTGTTAGTTTGGTAGGCTGGAAGTGTCAGTATTTTGCATGTTTGGTGATGCTGACATTTTATTTTTCTGACATGTTTCTTCATATAACATGAGAAAAATGTCAGAATGATTCAACAGGGAGCAGTTTTTAATGCAGAGGTTTATATTTTGCAGTGTCAGTGGGATATTCCTCTGTTTCTACCACTTGGTTTTGTATGTGATACAAACAAGATAAATCATGTCATTTCATTTGTGAGTGAATGGCTGAACAGACAAAAGGTGGGATCTGGTGAAAGGATTGAGCGCACAAAGTAGACAGATAACCAATATGCTACCTTATTGAATCGTCTCCTTCCCTCAGACCTCCCCCTTCTGCTTATTCCTCGTGAATATAGGGGACTTGACGCTTACAGGGTGAGGGGGGAGGAGACGAAGAAGGCAGGGACAAAAGAAGAAAGCAAGGATAGTGAGGAGAGAAAAAAGAAAGGGAGGGAGGGAGGGGAGCAGATATCATCAGAGTGCGCAGGCTCTGTGTGTGCCGTGCTGCTGTCTATTGATTGGAAAACAACGGGCTTTGGGAGGACGCATCAGGGAGGCTGTGAGCTAACTGGTGAGGGAAGGGATACACAACCAAAGCTCGGACCACCCGGCCATTTTTACCTCCCTTGTCTTTTCTTTATCCCCTTCATATCAGGGATGAATGTCCTGCTCATCACTGCGTTTCTCATCTGAGGAAACAGATTCTTTGTGTTTGAGAAGATCCTGAACAAAGGTGCCTCAAATCTACTGCAGGTAATCTGTTTTCTCTCTTAACCATCCTGCTGCTTCCTCTCTTCCAGATCCTCCCTGTGTATCTGTACATTATCCTCCTCCATCCTTGCTTTGTAACCATGGTTTCCTCCTTCTACCACTCCTCACTGCTCATCTTCCTCCCCCACTCTCCCCTTTTCTCTCTGTAATGAGATGATTGTGTGGACCTACTTGATTTCCATCCCTGACACTGCCACCTTGAAAATAATCAAACTGCTGTCCATTTTAAAAACTGCTTTTTACATTTAAATGTCATCAATTCCTCAAAGTAGGAGAAGAAATGCCTCAAAAATCAGCACTCATTGGTGCTGTGGTTGTGTCTGTCCCTCCCACTGTAAAACAGGGTGTCTCCATTGCATTAAATGACCTCTGAAGCGCTCCTCTGATTGGCTCTTTTTATACCTGCAAGCTTCAAAGTAGAGGTGTCCCGATACAGCTTTTTTAACTTCTGATACGATACCGATATTGTAGCTGTCAGTACTGGCATTTTAATTACCATAGATTGCTTAATTTTAAACTGATTTCCGTTCAACATTTCTGACCACACCACACCACACATCAGCTAATGTGTTAGCCTGCTACATTTGAGGCAATGTACTTTATGCTTCTAACGTTGGCTAACCATAAGCTTGCTCACCTACATATGGATTCCTGAAGGCAGCTAGATTGAGGTGTCTACAGCCTGGAATGGATTGCTTGTATCAGAGTGCTGATATTGAAAATTTTAGATACAGGCTGATAAAATTCAATATTCTTTATTATGCTGATATCGGACGAATATCAATATCTGATTGGGACATCCCTACTTCAAAGCACATGACAGCACCAGTACTTACTGTGTGAAGGTCTCAAACAGCTGACACAGATCCTAAACAAATAGCATGCAGACGCTGAGTACACCGTCTACATCGATACTCTCTTCCTGGACGCTTTTTATATGAGGACATATTCCAGTGTTTTCCAGGCAGTATCAGAGAAGCTCCAACTGAGGTGGTGTTACAGGAAATAATATTTTGTGATTTCTTATCCTGACAAATTTTAAGCATGAGTTCATTGGCAAAGAGTCCCTAGGGCAAGGTTAGATTCTTCTGCTCATGTCCCTTCTTAAACAGGGCATATTACATTAATCAGACCTTCTGATAGATGCTGTCTCACTGTCATATAAAGAGGGATATTTATTTCTCTGCTGCTCAGATTAAGTCAATTCTGATCCTTTATTTCTGCAGTGGAATTAGAAACAAGACGCACTTATAATACAGAAAACATCAGCGCAGGGTGGACAGCACTAACAGGGGAGCAGAAAAACGTCCTGTAAAAACACAACATCCGGCAGCTGAAAGAGCAGCACTTTGCTGAGTGCTGGTAAGACCAGCAAGGGGGAGAAGGGTTGCTTCAGCCTCACTCACTCACTCCAGGCCAAGCCCTGCTGCACACAGGATGAAATCCAGCCCTCACTTCTGTAATTACACTGCGTCAGACAACCTGACCACAGACCAACTTTTCTTAAAGTCTGAGTGCAGCATTAAATCCGACACGGAGCAATGCTGTATCTTCCTGTAGATTTACATTCTCTTATGTCTGCTCATTTATAAGTTAACGTTTCATTTCAGCATACAAATTATTACAGTCCATGTAAAGCCCTTTAAATTTAATCTTCTGGTTTCTTTCAGTGTAAGTCATTGTCCTTTTTGATCATTCAGTTATTGTCATTATCATCATTATCATTCAAAATACACCAGTATGGATGATAACAGTCCTAACAAAAGAGGAAATGTTGATATTGTGCCATACATAACCATATAATTACACCATGAGTTCATTTAAGTCCTAGATGAACTCATGGTAGACAAAGGAGAAGCAGCAGCTGCTAGTGAGCTAGCAGCAGCTGCTCTTTTAGTAATGACAAAAAGTTTCAGCTATGTTCTCTTCCCAAAGACAAAGTCACCAGGAACAGTGAGAAATTTTCAAGTTCCAGGGACAACACACACAAGGGTATGGGGGACCAAAAATGGCATAATTAAAAATGATTAAATGGATTAATAAATAAATCCAGAAATAAATATGTTAATAAATAAATAAATGCAGAAGTGAATACAACAATAAATAAATAAATGCTTGTATTTTAAGTTGCTTACTTGCGCTGTTGGCCAATGGAGACCAACGTCCGCGCATGGCGGCCATTTTGCTACGGGACACTTGCCCACTCATAACATCACAGTCTACGGTGCATGTAGCATTTAAATAACCATAGATTGCTTAATTTTAAACTGATTTCCGTTCAACATTTCTGACCACACCACACCACACATCAGCTAACATGTTGGCCTGCTACATTTCAGGCAATGTACTTTATGCTTCTAATGTTGGCTAACCATTAGCTTGCTCACCTACCAATCAATTCCTGGAGGCAGAAGCTGGTACACAACAATGCTTCACAAACTTACATCTTCACAACAAAATGAGGGTCTTTCTAATAATAGCAAGTCATCTATATGGTAAAGCAATAGCGGGAATGTAACAAACCTTGCTTTGTACGTCTCCTCGCTTCCTTCTACCCAATGTGTTGGGTTGTCCAACATAACAGTGTTTATGTTCCCACTATGAATAACCTTTTGAATTGGGTACTCAGAATACCCGAATCCATGAAAATAACCCAAATAAATTGACCGACAGGCCCAACCTAGTAGTAGGGTTGAAAAAACAACCCAGCATTATTTTGTGTGTATATTCATGTTTTTCTGCATTAAGTTATGTATCATTGCATTTCCACATTAATTTATGTATACTTTTATCTATTTATGTATTTCCACATTTCCACATTTATTTATTTACACATCCCTGTGGCCATTTTGTCAGTGGAAACGTATACATGTAAATTAAGTGGGCGGTCCTTACTCCACTCCGAAGCAGGATTAATTACATAGATGTGATCGGCCCTAGGCCTACAACTGCTGCTTTGACTTGACTACAATGCCTTGCGTGAATTATGGGCGTTTTCTGGTGCCTTCTGTAAATGGACAGGGAGCTGGCATTTTCCACAGTATTTGTAAGCTAACCGTGGTTATTAGAGCAATTCAGGCTGAAAACAATTTAAGAACATTATCTGTCATCATAAACAGGACAATGTTATCATTCACCCCTCTCTATCGAGGGGTTGGAGGACGATATAAAGAAATGGCTTCAAGTAATGTATGCTAGCATTTAGCTGGTATGTTAGCACCATTGCTGTAGACAGGGAGGCTGGGTTAATCAGTTCTTACATAGTTACAAGGTCAGTTGCATTTTGTTAACAGAGGTTGGACACTATCTTATAAACTTAAAAGCAGATGTAGAGCCGAGTCAGAGCCTCAATGTCCCACATCCCCACATCACTGTGCCTGGTTTTGAGTGTCAGCTCCAGGGATATGCACAGCTTCTCATGTATGGCAGGACCAGGACAATTCTGTGGATTAGCATGTTTTCAACAAATTAATCACAGTGGCCGTTTTTTTTTCGTTCTCTCTTTTTTCTCAGTCCTCCTTTTTTATTGTTATTTTTATTGTTATAATGATAATAAAAATAATAATAATAATAATAATAATAATAATAATAATAATAATAATAATTATTATTATTATTATTATTATTATTATTATTATCATTATTACTTTTTTACATCTCTTATTTAGCTGCATATATAGATTAGAAAGTGTGTGTATGTGGAGGAGGTGTCTTTGGATTGTTTCCCTTTTCTTTTTACACACAGCACTTTGCGTTTCATTAGCGTTGTAAGAAAAGTGCTTCATTAATTGAGTCTGATTCCAAGCAAACACTGTCAGAAGGCAGATGATAGAAATATGAACAAGGGTCACAGGAGCACTCCCTCTTTGTTTTGGGTGCCTCTTAACCCATACATTCTACTTTCTCTGGTTGTCAGTACAACCACAGATGACTCAACACATACCAGAACTACATAACGACATAATAATACAAAATATACAATATATATATATATATATATTTAAATTATGTCATTTTTTTGTCTATCATACAATGTAGCTTTATGTGCTCTTCTCTCCATTGAGATCTTTATCAGTGTGCCATAGAAACCTGGTGACTTGACTTGCACAGACATTGCACTGCCAACCAGTGTTTAGGCTGAAAACTGCAGCACAACACACCCCATTCAACACAAGGATATGATTCTCATCCGTCAGCAACAACTGCATAGTTTTCAATGCACTCATCAATATTTTACACTGAAAAAAAATCAATGTTTTTTTAGGAGCCTCTCACAGTCACAGGCCCCTGTACTTGCCCTAATTTTCCTCTTTTGCAGAACCTCTGTATGTGTACCAGTACTCTCCTCTTTTCTATGTTGATGGGCTTCAGAGCCTGACCAATTAGTACATGCTAAATGTGTGTATATTTCTGTCAAATCGGACCTTGATTTATCGGATGAACATCCGATCATGTTGTCCTGATTGGGATGTAAATTAGAGAACGAGGCATAAACTCAGAGGGGAAAATGTATACTGAGGGAATGAATCAAATGAGTCAGAACATTTTCTCGGTGAGTTTTTTATCTCTCTAATAAAATGTTGTTTTTTAAAGTGGCCCCTTTCTAGTTATGACTTAAAATAATGCACTTCTAAGCTGACTTTACCCTTCAGACCGGAGGCTATATCCAGCGTAAGTAAATAGTCCAAAATCAAAAGTTTTCTGTGAACATCTTTGCAGAAAGAAACTCCTCTCATGATGGTTTAACTCTAAAGGTCCTTACACACCAGCGAATTTGTAGAGTGAAGCGAAAAAGCGAGACAAAAATGTGAAAATATTTGCCGGTCCGAAAAATCGCTTTTGCCTATACAAACCGGGCGCGAAGCGAATATGCGTATAAATTTTGCAAAGCGAAGTTATACCCCACGAAATTCCGTCAGTGTTTTAGAATGTCCCTCAGGCAATTTAACGACCTCCTCCAGCAGCTGACGCCATGGCTGGAGAAGCAGACAACTAACTATAGAGAGCCAATTGGTCCAGAGGAGTGGCTAGCCAAATGTCTGAGGTAAGATTAAAATAATAGGCAATATTCTATATGAATGAGACAAAGTCCCGTTTTCTTGAAAGCTCCGGGCCCCCAGCCCCGTTATAATGTTTATAAGCACATAATAGCTCATCTATAGATCACTCGTCTCCAAGAGGAGCTGGATGGGTTTGCCGTAGCGTGCTTGATAAATGAATATCATCAACAACATGACTTTTGATTGGCCAGAGGGCTAGCAGGTCCAGATATTCGCCTGCGAATCTCCGAAAAATTTGACACAAGAGCGAAAAAATAAAAGACGCTTTTCGCCCCGCGGAAATATCGCAGCCGGTGTGGAAGCTTGCATTGATTTTATGCTGTTTTAAAAAAAGGCAAATAATTTGCCTGGCGAATTCGCGCCTGGTGTGTAAGGACCTTAAGAAGGCAGATTTTCTGCACAAACTGTCCCAAATGTTAATTGTCCTCAGGAAACTCCACACTGTCGTCCCTTTCTAAAACACATTTCTACTGCCAAATGATAAAATACACATGCATGCTTATATACTCTTTTGGCTGTTTTTTTCAAGTGCTCCCCTAAAATCTTTACTAAACACAAATGACTATTACAGTTGTGTCTTTGTGCAGAAAATTAGAAAAAGATTATTGAGGAAAGCTAATACACAGTGTTTGCATTGTGGCTGGGAGATGAGTCCATCTGTCTGAATCTTCACAATAATTAAACGACAGTATTATTATTACTATACTATATACAAATGTTTTTACAATTTCTCATCCTAGAATATTGAAAATCTCTTTACTTCAATCCTGGTAGACTCATGTAATTAACTACCAAAAAAGAAACTGGTTTAAGTCCCTCAGGGACCTGGTCCCCTTCTGGCACATCTACCTCCATCTCGCTTTGTCTAGACACTATGGAGTCTCTCCATATGAGGTGAGACAGGAGTGATTTAGAAAACGCCAAGTAAATCCTTCTGGGAATTCATTAAGTGAAACAGACGGGCCATGGACTTTGGTGGTTGGGGTTGTAGCGATTTGAATTTAGAATAAATGTCCAAAATTAATAAAATTAAATTATGACATTTATGCACTCGTTGAAGGGGCACCACCCACCTTTCTGGTGGGAAAAAAAAGACGAAACAAAGTTCAATTGAGTAATCAAACATTGAATCAGTCTTAAACAGATTTAAATCAATCTCTCATCTGAGGCCAGAATTCTCCATTCAGGGACTCTACTTTCTGGAAGGACCACTAAGAGACGACAACTTAAAATTAAATGGACAATTTATTAACAAGCTATATGATAACAAAACTTCAATAAATGATGATCAAATAATGAGAAAATCAAAGAACATCTAATGAATAAATAAAGGAATGGTTTGAACCGAACCTATGACTGGAGGTTAATGATAGTGAGTGAATAAGAGAAAATTTAACCTACGTTAACAGAGTTACGAGGGTAAATTTTAAAGAGGAATTTTGGAGAACTAAACTATAACTAGGAAAATAAGCTACTGAACGCTTGACGGCATCACCCAGTTGATACAGCAGTTTCGAGGAGTTTGCCTACTTTGGATGTCGGTTCTCAGCGGCACTCTTGGAGTGGATCAGCTGAAGTTCTGTGGCTACCGGACCGGATGCTGAAGGTTCGGCGGGGAGTTCTCCGCCGTGAATGGTCTCAGGCTTCAGGACCATGTCAGCGCCGTTAGATACTTCAGTTCTCTTGGCCTCTCGGAACCAGGTGGCAAACGCAGCTCGGCAGATGATGCTGGTCGGTCCTCCGGGCACTCAGGATTAGCTTTATTGCAAATTAATTTGCGCCAATAACTTAAGAAAATAATTTGGCTGGCCAGCCGATATTATCTTCAGGAGTCACTTTAGCGAACTTAAAATAAAATAAAAGGCTTAGACTGAGGTTCTCTATGCGCGCAGCTAATTACTGATGCTTTAAAGAAACTTGGGCATGGTTTCATCCAAGTTTCTGGAAAAGTCTGATCTTAAGGCAAATAATAAAAACGTGGAGAATAATTACAAGACGATGAACGGAGACAAAAGAACAAGACAAGAAAGAACTCAAGAACGAAGAAGAACGAAGAAGCAAAGAAGCCAAGGGCGACAAAAGCTCAATTCTTTTAAGCAGTTCACGTGGGGCATAAACCAAAAGGGGGGGGGGGACACTTATGCAATCGTTGTTCCCCATGCGGCCCGTTGACTGGCAGCGAATTAATTTAACTTGATATTAAAAGCGAGCTAGATCTAATTTACTCACTCACTATGATTAAAACCGTTTATAACATCACATACGATCACGTTTCACTTCATTGTTTCTTATGAGCAGATGCATTAAAACATAACATTTAACAAAAAGTAAACTTTGATCAGCCGTTTTCTTGATAATAACAGAGGATTAACGACTTTTTCAAAGTTAGAGAGGGACAGAAAACCAGATTATCTATTCGACCAGAAACACCATCCAGCATAAGAAACACATACGTGATGATACTTTATAACAATATAACCTTGTCAATCGATACTTCATAAATGATTAACATATATACTCGGGTGAGGTAGATAAAAACATAGTATTTATACATTCAAAAACTCTTAACTTGAGAATAAAAGAGTTTCTCGTTACTACTTCTAAAATTGCTAAACTATCTTGGGAATACTATTTACTAAGCTACGAAGTATATAAAAAAAGAAGAAATGCACATAATTAAATTCACTGAATACACATTTGGTTCTGACCAAACCATATTCAGACAACACCACTAGGAGGAGCTCTTGGTCCATGGAAAACCTGGAATAAATTTGTGAAGTTAACAGTTTGGCTTGTAGACATGCTAGACAAATGGGAAAAAGACTGTTTCATTGATGATGTGGTGTACAGATAGAAAATCCTGGTGAAGTATCCATTAAACCTGAAGTTAAACTATTTTCAGTCATTCTCTTCCTCCTGCACCTTAGAGAGAGTCACAGAAAAACACAGTCATTCAAAGAATTCATGGTAGGGGTCTGTTCCAGGGATTGGCGCCAAAATGCAGCCTTGGAGAGTGTTCTCGTGCTCTTTTTGGGGTCACTCCTTAAACTGAGGTGTCAACTATGAGCTTTTCCAGCCAAGGTGAGAGGCCCAATGTTTATTCGGTCTGGGGGTCCTGTGGTTGATATGCAACTCGTCTCTTTGAAGCGTGAAGATTCACTATCAACCTTTTGGGAAGAGGCCCCCCTTTGGTTCTGTCCTGGATCGTAAACGGCCACAAGTTAAGTGTGAAACGTTACCCCCATTTCTTCTCCTAATCAGGGAAGCCTGCATTCCTTTGAGTGGGTGAATTAAAGATGGACAAAGCAGAAAGCAGTCGTCTTGTTACAGGGTGTTTGGGGCACGACCCAACCTCTGGAGTTGGAATTAAGTTGATGTGGAAATGCCAAAAACTGCAGTCCCACGAGTGCTGATTCCATAGCTGTAATAAACATATTTACTGCCTGTTTGAAAAATGGTTTGAGTACCAGTGGCTTATGTCCTGATCTACCTTCCCTGATTTGGGAATTTTTTTTCCATTTGTAAGAGTACTGCACTATTTCCATGAGTTGGGACACATAGAAAAGACAACATGTCAAATATTGAAACTGAAATGTTATCATGTTTTATTCAAACTTTATATACAGTATATTTAATTTGATGCAAGCAAAAGTAAAAGTAGTAGTACCAGGCTCATGTTTCTCATTGCCTTGCATTAGCTCCTCTTTTACCAACACTCAATAAACATTGGTGAACCCAGGAGACCAGATTCTGGAATTCATAAAGAGAAATGTGGTCGAATTATTGTCCGATTAAGGATTTCCGCTGATTTCAGTTCATCAGCAGGATTCTTCGACTACAGTACAATGCTATTGTAATCCCTGTTGTCAGAATGTGGTTTGTCATTGTCTTGCTGAAACATGAAGGTCTTCCTTGAAAAAGTAATTATCTGGATGGCAGCAGATGTTGCTCCTAAACCTGTAGATACTGTTCTGCATTAGTGGGGCCTTCACAGATGTGAAAGATAACCATGATCTGAAATGAAATGCCAGTTCATTGTCTGTAAAGATGTTTGTATATGTGGGGGGGTTAATCCATGCTCTCAATGCAATCACTCAGTGCGTTTACATGCACAGCTTAATCAGACTAAGCTCATAATTATTGATGTGAATGTGGCGCTGTATCCAGACCTTTTTTTAAGATGTCTCCATTCCTCGTTCTGTGTTCGTTTCTGTCAGGACGGAAAGCATAACAGCACTCTCCTCATTGTTACAAAAGTGGACATTCGTACATGCTTCAGCCATGTTGCAGTTGCTTCTGATTTTTGCAATGATAGTGCCACTTCTTCTCTGGTGTTTTTGTTCCAGGTTACGGCGATGCATACATACATTGTCCGATCATACTCTGACTACACTGGTTACATGGTAGAGAAAATCAAATTCCAATCACATTATCTGGGTGTCTTAATCTGAGTTCTCTGACTCCAATGGAATTCTCAAACTCTGATTGGTTTACATGCACTTTAGTTGTTTGGTCTTAGTCGGAGTAAGGCAATAATTCGTTTTTCTCGAGTGTCATGTAAACGTACTGATTGTGTTGAAAGTTGTAGCATTATGAGAGGTTCCTAAGACAGGTTAGATGTGGAACAGTGTAAATTAACCCAAAAACAGTCAAGTCAAGTTCCTAAGAAAGGTGGGATTTTATTCAACCACAGGTTTATCACAAAGAAAACGGGTAAGTCAGGGTGTTAGGTTCATCCAAACAAGATCTCATTTCAACTCAAAACACCCCAGAGGAGAAAATACTTCCTTTTAAAAGTAACCACAATGTTCAACCAGCCCAACTAAAGTGCCTCTTTTGCACTGAGCTCCTATATTGTTCACTTCCCTGGGGTTTTGACCCCAGCTCTCCCTCTCCTCTCCCAAGTGTGTGCTCCCCTCTCTCTGTCTGTTTTCCAGCTTCTTTGTCCTGCCTCAATCAATGGTCCCAGGCACCTGCAGCTGTCCAGGTGGAAATGCATGCTGGGAGTTGTAGTGTGCCCTGCTGCGGCCCTTGTGTCTGACCACTGACAATCCATGATTTCATAGCGCCCATCTACAACTTGTCCCTTTGTGATGCCACTAAGTGAATTTGCTGAAGCAGAGTTCTTGTAATAAATGCTGATGAAACAGAAGATGTGAAGCTGATTTAGCGAAGTCATTTAACCCTCCATCACCTCTCCTCTGTTTGTGCAGCACTCAGAGACCAACAGACGGGGACATCATGGAAGCCCCCCTCGTTTGTCTAGATGAGGAGTTTGAGGATCTGCGTCCCTGCCGCATGGATGAGCTCGACCACTCATCACTCAACAACTCCTCTTACTCCAACACCTCCAGCAACTCCCCCACAACTGCCCCCCTGGCCTCAATCACACGTGAGGACTTCTCTGAGCTGGAGAACTTCTCTGAGATGATGAGCTTCAAGTCCATGGAGGACCTTGTCAACGAGTTTGACGAGAAGCTCAACGTCTGCTTCCACAACTACAACACCAAGACGGAGGGCCTGGCACCCATTCGCAACCAGACGCACAACCAGGAGGATGAGGAAAGGTTGCAGGATGAAGAGTGAGTGACCGAAGTTAATGTACTTTGCTGAAACAATATTAGTCTATATGGAGTTTGTTTAAGCTTTCATATCTTGTTTGTTTTTAAGCTTGCAAGTGGATCTGATACAGTGCAGGACTCGAGTTGCATACTTGAGCTCCCATATATAAATTATACACAGATAACTTGGTTTTCCCAAACCCACATCCCAGATACATTCTCGGGACCAGATAGCAGTACAATTCTAACCGTAAAGTATTCTGTTTTAAATCATCTGAGAAATGATTTTTTAAAATAGCTTGGCTGGGCCATCCAGTTCTGTGAATCACTTGCTGTTCCTTCCCACAACAGTCTGGACTTCGGCCCATTGGGAGCGTTTATTAGAAATCAGAAAATAACCGGGCCAATTAGTGATTGTGTTTCCACTGTTCCCCGAAAAACAGGGAAAGGCAGCCCCTGATTGGTCCATAGTTTTAAGAGACATTGAGAGCTGAAGCACACATGACACAACCTAGCATACTGTTACAGCATGCTGAAAAGGTTCCTTTGGAACAGAAAACATCCTTTATGGAGAAAAAAAAACATATACCTTCATGAATTTAATCAAACAAAATCATAAAACTTGCTAACAAGGACGTACCGCTTTTTAAAAGGCAGAGGATGTGCAGAGGATCACTCAAAATTCTAGAACGTGCTTCTCAGAATCAGTAGAGCTAAATAGGCCTGAGGGTTTATTCACGCACCCCCCACTTGAGATGTCCACATGCATTCCTCCCAAAGACATAAAGAGAGGAACTGTAGGAACAAAGGTCAAAGACATGAAATGTTTTTTGCTCCATAACATTACATAAAGCACATCTACATGTCTTTCTTCTGTAAAAAGTAGATTCTTCTGTAAATTCTTCTTCTTCTTCTTACATGATGACAATGCTAGCTGGTAGAGGCTGTCAGTAAGTTCTAACAGTTGTGCACACGTGTGCACAGTATTTATTGTAATAACAAACACACTGGTATGGTGTTTTTGTATGTAACCTGCCTAAAAGACATTTGCACTTCAACGTACAGGATTATAAGGGAAGCCTAAGCAGGGAGGCCCCGACTTCCCTATTCCGAGCTACTTCGTCCAGCCCTTCCCTCTTCAAGCGTTCCCAGGCCATCTGAGAGACATAATCTCTCCAGCGTGTCCTTGGTTATCCCTGCACTCTTTGGTGCAATGTAGGTTGGGCAGCAGCCAAAGGCAGAGACCTTGGCAGTCAGATCCTCAGACGCAGAGGCTAGTTCTAGGGACGTAGAATGTCATCTCTCTGGCAGGGAAGGAAGTTGAGCTGGTGTACGAGGTGGAGAAGTTCTGTCTAGATATAGTTGGACTCACCTTCACACAAAGCGTGGGCTCTGGAACCAGAACTCTCGAGACGAGCTGGAGTCTCTTTGACTCTGGAGTTACCACTGGGGCAGGGGTGGCAATACTAAGTGCTCCCTTGCTCGGTGCCTGTGTGTTGGGGCTCAGCCTGAACGAGAGGGTAGTCTCCCTTCGCCTTTGGGTGGGGTGATGGATCCTGACTGTTGTTTGTACCTAAGCTCCAAATAGCAGCGCAGAGTATTCACCTTTCTACTCCTTGGAAGAAGTGCTGGAGAGTGCTTCTTTGGGGGACTTCCTTGTTCTGCTGGGGGATTTCAACGCCCATGTTGGCAGCAACAGTGAGACCTGGAGGGGCGTGACTGGGAAGAACGGCCCCCCGCTCTGAACCCAAGCGGTGCTTTGTTAATGGATTTCTGTGTTCATCACAGATTGTCTATAACAAACACCATGTCCAGGCATAAGGGTGTCCACATGTGCACTTGGCACTAGGACACCCAGGGTCGCAGTTCGATGATCGATTTTGTGGTCGTGTCGCCAGACTTGCGGCCACATGTCTTGGACATTCGGATGAAGAGAGGGGTTGAGCTGTCAACCGATCACCACCTGGTGGTGAGTTGGCTCTGATGGTGGGGGAGGATGATGGTCAGATCTGACAGACCCAAATGCATTGTGAAAACTTCAACCATGTCCTGGGGGAGGCGCAGGACATTGAGTCCGAGTGAGCTATGTTCCATGCCTCGGTTGTTCAGGCGGCTGATTGGAGCAGTGGCGGTAAGGTGGTCGGTGCCTGTCGTGATGATAATACCCAAACCAGTTGGTGGACACCAGTGGTGAGTGATACCATTAAGCTAAAGAAGGAGTCCAGTCAGGCCTTTTTGGCCTGTGGGACTCCAGAGGCAGCTGATAGGTACTGGCAGGCCAAGCAAAATGGGGCTTCAGTGGTCACTGAGGCAAAAACCCTGGGAAGGCAGGAGTTCAGTGAGGCCATGGAGAATGACTACCAGACAGCTGCGTAGAGATTCTGGACCACCATCCACACTGCGCATGGTGGGGATGGTGCACTGCTGACCTTGACTCTGGACATTGTTGCTTTTGTTTCCTGGATCACAGATTACCTGGCAGTCACATCCTCACCAGGAAGGCCACAGTTTGTCAGGCTGGGGAACTGTGTTTCTGGGACATTAATGAGCAGTACAGGGGCTCCACAAGGGACAGTGATGGCGCCATTCCTGTTCACACTGTAAACATCAGACTTCAAATGCAGCACTGAGTCCTGCCACATCCAGAAATACTAAGATGACACCGCTAATGTGGCATGTATTAGAAATGAACAAGAATCTGAATACAGAGATCTGATAAGACCCTTCAGTGACTGGAGTCACAAAAACTGCCTCCTCCTCAACACCTCAAAGACAAAGGAGATGGTCATAGACTTCCGCAGATCTGTATCCCTTCTTCAGCCAGTGAACACCTGTGGAGTGGACATCATAGTGGTGACATCATATAAATACCTAGGTGTACACCTGGATAATAAGTTAGACTGATCTAAGAATATAGACTTCATTTACAAAAAGGGGAAGAGCCACCTCTTTTGCCTGAGAAGATTCCGATCAATAGACATCTGTAGTTAGATGCTGCTGATATTTTATCAGCCTGTGGTGGCAAGTGTTCTGTTCTACGCTGCAGTCTGCTGGGGAGGAAGCATCAAACACAAAGATTCAAGTTGTCTGAATAAACTGGTCAAAAAAGTTGGTTTTGTGGTTGGATTGAAGTTCAAGGACCCACTGAAGGATGTGGTGGAGAGACGTGCACTGAGGAAGGTGGAGACTATTCTCAAGAACATGGATCACCCACTTCACGACAACTTAATGGACCAAAGGGCCAATGGTGGTGGACGGCTCCTCTCTCTTCGCTGCAGGGCAGAAAGATTCAGAAGATCTTTTGTGCCTACAGCCATCAGACTGTAAAACTTTTCTGTAAATAGTAGATGGCTTTTAAAGACATGACAAATGAGACGACAGACAATTGAATTTCCCTTTGGGATTAATAAAGTTCTTATTGTTATTATTATTATTATTATTATTGCAACACACCACAATCTGACTTACTTTTCGTGCTGCCCTGTAAAACGTCAATTAATAAAGTCTGTTGTACTTGAAGCTTTCAAACACACTTTTACAACCCACACATTCAACAAGACAAAAATACAGTATTTCCGGGGTTGGGATGACGTCACTGGGCTGGGAGCTTGGACTGGCACTGAGCTCCCGCTCCCATTGACCTTAACTTACATTTTAACCAACCACAGACTGTTATTTTTGTTCATTTTTATGACACTCCAGACATAAATCCTTGCCTATTGTGGGAAGCGGCTAAGGCGTTCATGAGGGGGTCTATTATATCCTACACAGCAGCTCACAAAAGAGATACAATCAGGAAGCAATTGGAATTAGAACATTGGATCCAGGATTTATGGAACAAGTTTAAAAGCTCTCCATCTTAAAAAATTAGAAGCAGCGAAATTGGCCCTCAATCAACTCTTAACAAGCAAAGCAGAGGCTTCTATCCTTTTTGCAGGACAGAGGCTATATGAACATGGTAATGAACCTAGCCGCCTTCTTGCTCGCCTGGCAAGGGGAAAAAATGCCATTAGTTTAATATCATCACTTCAAGATAGTAATTGAGACAAAGTCCACGAATCAAAGAAAATTAACAATATAATGAGACAGCTCTACTATGAGTTATATTCCAACGAATGTAATACTTCAGTAGAGCTAAGAAGATCTTTCCTGGATAAGGTTAGTCTACCCTCTCTCACAGAAGAACAGCGGGAGGCTCTGAATAGACCAAGGAAGAGGTCCTGGGTGCCATTCGCACAATTCAAAATGGGAAAGCACCAGGACCGGATGGCTATGGGCCAGAGTATTATAAAAAAATGAGCAGAGTTGGGGTGGGTCCTCTGACCAATATGTTTTTGGACTCTTTCGGGAAGAGATATCTCCCTTCCTCTCTAAATCTAGCCAATATCTCTTTAATCCTGAAGAAAAATAAACCATCAGATGAGTGCGGTTCTTACAGACCTGTCAGCCTTATAAATGTGGACAGCAAGATACTGTCTAAAACGCTGGCCAGAAGATTGGAGAATGACTTACCCTCAGTCATAAATGAGGATCAGACAGGGTTTATCAGGGGAAGGTTTTCGTATTCTAATGTGAGAAGACTTCTAAATGTTGTACAGTATTCCTCACAGAGGTAACACCGGGCTCTGGCTATATCATTAGATGTGGAAAAGGCGTTTGATAGGGTCGAGTGCGGATTCATGTGGGATGTCCTGGACGGGTTTGGATTAGGAGAGGAGTTTATAAATTGGATAAAACTTATCATTCGCCATAGGCCTGTGTCTTGACCAATGGCATGCGCTCTCCCCCCCTTCCCACTCGGTGGACAGGGCTGCCCGCTCTCCCCCCTCCTTTTTACCCTCACATTACAGCCACTGGCAGAACCCATCAGGAATAGTGAGAATATTCATGGGGTTACTTTAGGCAAGACCACCCACAAGATAGCGTGCTGATGACATTTTACTTTTTTTTTCAAACCCCAAGGTCAATTCCTTTGGTTCAATATCTGGCTACAAAATAAATTACACAAAATCTGGGGCTATGCCCTTGGGGAATTACGGCAGCTAAAGTTCAGTTACAAACTTTCCATTCAGATGGGCCACTTCAGGCTTTGTCTATCTTGGTATCAGAGTGTCACCTAATGTTGAGGACCTGCGGAGACTTAATTTTGTGCCTACAATTACAGCAGTTAAGAATGACCTTGAGAGATGGCATGACCTTCCCCTCTCCTGGATGGGTAATCTCATAAAGATGAACATACTCCCTAGATTACTTTATCCTTTGCAGATGCTACCAATATGGATTTCAAAGAAGGTAATTTCAGATTTAGAAAAGGCTTTTTCACAATTTATTTGGCACAATATAAAGCCCAGAATTCAAATTAAGACCTTACAGCTGCCTTGGGAATGAGGAGGTTTAGCCCTACCGGATTTGTGATGTTATAACTGGGCCTGCAGCACCCGAATAATCTGGGACTGTGTACAGTCCCATTTAAAATCTGAAACAGGTATTGATGAGTGGTTCCCCTCTCCTGACTCCTTGCTGAGTAAACGAACTAACTATGGAAAAAAGAGATCTTTGGACATCCATCATAACCCTATTATCTACAACACTATCAGAATTTGGCGAGATCTAACAAAATATCTGAACACTTTTTTGGGTACCTTCAAGTCTGTAATTTTATTCTCTCAAAGGGAAAAAATCTCCCCACAGACACCCCCATTTCAAGTGATACAGATTCATTTTTGTTGAAACAAAAGGACACAAGACATTTTCTTTCTCATTTTTATTCGCTGTTTTACTCCATAGATCCATCAGATATTAGGTTAGAGCAAGGTTATATAGAAGTGGGAACACGATCTTGGTGGGCAATATATCAAAGATGACATGAAGCAATCGCCTCTGCCAAAACCACATTTACTTGTAACCGAATGAGAGAAACTCAATATAAGATACTCCATAGATCCCACATAACACCATCTATTTTTAATAAGCTTGACAACCAGACCTCTCCTCTTTGCATTAAATGTAAACAGATGATAGGGACATACATTCACTGTTTCTGGGCGTGTTATTTGACTGCAAGGTTTTGGAGCAATGTAGCCCAGGAATTGGGTACCATTTTTTCACTTAAAGTCACAAAGGATTCGGGTCTTTCATACTGGGTTTGCCTTCAAAAATATTATCTCTGAGTAGATCTGATTTCAGACTTTGTGACAAACTTCTGTTTCTGGCTAGGAGATGTATTTTAAAGCAGTGAATAAGTGATAAACCTCCCACTGTTACACAGTGATACCAAGAAACGTATAAAATTTTACCCATAGAAAGACTAACTGCACGAATGAAAGGGGATAATTGTTTGTTTGAGAGAACATGGTCAGCCTTTCTGAGGTACTTACCCCCATCCCTTCGGGACACTGTAAATAAGGGGAGATATGCCCTAGACTGGAATACTCCCACTAGAGGATCTGTCAGCAAGTAATTTGCCAATTTTTTGCTATCACCTGTCTTTAGACCTCCCCCTCCTTGTTTTAATTTCATTGTTCAATTTATGTATCTTTATACTTATGTATATATTCTTTGTGGTATTATTTTTATTTACTAGTGTACTTCATATTTCTTCTACTGTCCATGGTCGGGAGATGGCACAGTACTTGTATATGGTGAATGGCATGCTGGATGGGGGCGGCTAAGGGACTGGGGTGGAGAGTGTAGGCGGTGTGGGAATGCAGGGGTGGGTTTCTGGATGGACCGTCTTAAGTCACATGAAGCCATTTAATTTTGGATGATGCTATATTTTCTTTTGTATTTTGATATCAATGTGAATTCAGAAAGCTTGTTTGTTGTTTATGATCTTGGAAAAAATCTATAAAATCTATTTGAAAAAAAAAAAATTACAACATTTCCTTTCATTATATCCCAACATCCCAAACACCAAGTCACCTGCACACTGACCCAGTCTGCATGCTAAATAATTCAATGTGCGGTATTGTTTGTTTCACTGTGCTCTGGTCTGTATCGGTCTCTGCATCCCCTCCTCCTTACAGCTTCTGAGGTGGAAATACACACGCTCCCCGTCATGCTATGCGGGGGGGAATCAGGCTAAAAATAGTCTGTAGGTGTAAGAGGAGAGGGTTGAAGGGGGATCCTGAGTCTCTGTAGTAAAATAAGGATTAACTGAGCACAAGACACAACTCTACAACAATCTGCAACACAGTTGTAAAGCTGCCTACTGGGACACTGTGTACAAAACTACACTAGAGATATTGTGCTGTCAACTATTCAAACTGTTCCCCTCCTCCTCTTGAGATTTTGTCACAAAATCATCTCATTGTTCATCCTCTTCACTTCTGGTCTTACAAAAACAATCAAAGTCATGAGTTCAAGGCAAGTTAGTCTCATTAGTTGTTGGACTCAGAAGCATTGTGTTGTGGTGGCTGACAGAACAAAACCTTATTTCGGTAACAGTGAATTTCAAAATGACAGGGTTTTTAAAGCTCTACAGAGAGACTCAACAATAATATAAACATGTTGTTTAGTGGGGAACAGTCCAGGGGCCTATTCTACGAAGCAAGTGTGACCTAGCGAGATAGCACCAAGGCTACCTCGCTAGGTCGAACTTTCTTAGCTTAGGGCAGTAGCCACCGGTCTCGCTAAACAGTCTTACAGTCTTAGGTTATCAACCTTGTAAGTGGATCCAACTTTGCTATGAGCGCGTGCACGCATGTAAGGTGGAACCCGCAGCATCTGACCAATCGCGAACATGGACCAGTCTGGAGCATCAGAGCAGGCCTGAGAGCGAAGGACCGCGTACTTTACAAACGAGGAGCAGGAGACGATCATGAGAAAGTATGAAGAATTCAAATCTATCATGAACCTCAAGTGCAACACCGTCGCCGCTGCAAAAGCATGGAAGGAACGCTGGCAGAAAATTGCAGACAGTCTCAATGCATAAGTATAGTACGCAAAAAATCTTTGATGCCATTATCACCCTGAAATAACACTGTTCAACATGCGCTTTTAACATCCACCAGACATGTCTAATTCATTTCCAAGATGAATTCATTCATTTGTTCATTCCTATCGTGTTTACATTTTTTGTGTGATATGTAGGCCATATGAGCCTTTCATAAAGGTGGTCATCCGGAAAAGTAAGTGGGTTCGTGCGGGCAATGCGAGCACCGAGGTCTATAGGATCCTCCAAGAATGGACAAGCCATTTTTCGAGACAGCTCATTGGTCAGTGGGTGGGGTTTTTATACTCGGTAAGTTCAATCTGGAACCTAACCTGCCCCAGAGCAGGTTCGCCGTTCAGCGTACATTGCCATGGAGACTCGCCTTGCTAAGAAGTGAACCTGTGTCGTAGAACAGGAAACCCCAAACTTACCCTTGAAGTTACCTCACTAAGCAGTAATCCTGCTTCGCAGAATAGGCCCCAGGTTGATTTTTTGGTTCAATCCCTGCTGTTTCTTGTTTTCAAACTCAGATATGAGTCAGCTGATTGTTAAGCAGAATATTAAATGTTTTCCTTTCAATGGCCTTGCGCCAACAAACACAGCAGGACAGCTTAGAGACATGGGGCTCTATTTTCGTGCCTCGCGGGAGACGTGCCGACAAGGCGTTTCCAAGCACAATTTGGTATTTTGGTGAGCGGCGCAGCCTGGCGTAAGTATCCCCTCTCCCTAACTCAGCTCCTCCCAGCGGCGTAAGTCGTAGCGAGGGAGGAGAGAGGGCGTGGAGTGGGTTTAACACAGCCGAGACCTGTATTGACCAATAACATCAGCTCCTTTCCTTGCCTTTAAATCCGCCACTGGCGAGGCGTATTACAATTTTCCAGAAGTAGTCAAAGAGATCAAGAGATGTCTGAAGACAGTAATGCCACACGATGGCGACATAAGGCAGCTCCTCAATAAGTGTCGCTGTAAACGCTGCAGAGGACGTCCTTCACACTGTCTCATATAAGCACAGATGGATTTGGTGTGTGTAAGTTTAGACCCACTAATAAGACAAACACCCTTTTCCACAAATAAAGACACTCACATAAAGTTGTATATATTCAAACCTCACTTGACAAAGGTGGGTTGTGCGCACAGATCACATCATAAACCCCAAAAATGGCATGAAAATCGGAACCATCTGTGCGTAATGACGCATCGCACTCCATGGCCTGGCTCTTTCTTTCATAGATGTTGGCATATAAAATAAATTTGTATGTGGGCCTAAAGTAAATAACTCATCGGATCACTGACACAAATCATCTGTTCAGCCGCCGCCGCAGCAGCTGCAGCAGCAGCTGCAGCAGCAGCAGGACAGAGAGAGGACGCGGAGACATGTCCAGGTTGAGCTGCGCGAGAAATAAGAGGAAGAGAAAGAAAGAAAAGGAGGGAGGCGAATTACATAGCTTGTTAACTTCATCATGTGTGTCTATTTACTAGATATTTAATTAAATTGAATGCGGTATCAGCTGTGTTGATTTGGTCAGGTTGTGTGACCAAAAGCGTGCCAAATGCGCTCATCAGATCAGATATAGATCAGAATATTTCTATATAGATCCAAATGTATGTGCTGACTTAGATTATTAGTTGTTGTTGATTATTTATTGCAATTGCAATTTATTGCAAATGTGCCTGACACTGTGGAAACCTGCCGGTGAGGCATCAGTGACGTATGCCGATACGCCGCCGGTCTACCAAAATACCTCTAGACCAGCTACACTCTGCCTGTGCTGAAAGCTGACCAGGTTTGAATTGGCGAGTTTTCAGCGCACTTTATACGCCACCGGCGAGCACGAAAATGTCACTGCGCCAGCTGATCCTGTCGACACCCCCCCCGCCTCACCACCACACCCAGCTTGGCGGACCTCAGTGTGCCTCAGTCCACGAAAGTACCAAACTGGCTGTACACTGGGCTCTGCCAGATGAAAATACCACTGCGCGGGGTCCGCCACCCTCTGCCGCCTCACCGGCGGACACGAAAATAGAGCCCATGCTGTCCAGATGACCAATCACTGAGCCTGTGTATTGCAGGCAATCTGTATCGTGAGGGGATGACTACTAGATCTAATCATACGAACATGTTTAAGCAGGGAACATTTATTTTAACTTCTACTTACGTTCAAAGATCAGAAGTCAGAAAAACAAGAATGCTTTTAATCTTTATTGAGAAAATTTGGTGTTAACATTACTATTGTTCTCTTGCAAGAATGAAATGATTGTTGTTCCTACCCTGGTACGAATAAAAAGTGAATAATAATAATAATAATAATTATAATAATAATAATATTGCATCAGATTTTTTATAGCGCTTTATCAGAGACCCTCAAAGCGCTTTACATTGGATACATCATTCATTCGCTCACACAGTCACACTTTGGTGGTGGTAAACTACCTTAGTAGTCACAGCTGCCCTGGGGCAGACTGACGGAAACGTGAAGTAAATAGTAATTCTGTTTTTCACACATAAACAGGGACACAGCCAAGGATATATCTTTTTTTTGAAACAGAGAAATTAAGTTTTTAATGGGTTAGAGGGACTGGAGACAGGTATTTCGGTCAGGATCACTTTAGTCAAAATTAATTATTTATTACAAGCAAACATTTTTACATTGGCGGTATGGCTCTGTTCTGAGAGTTCCCTGCCCTTCTGTGTGCTTGCATGGAATGCCACAGCTATAAGAGGGGAGAGCTCCCCCCCTCCCTTTCATGTGCAAACATGAAAAGCCAAGGCAGAGAAAGCAGCAGCAAATAAATACGATTCAGATAAAAAATTAAAATCCCCCCACAGAGTAGAGCAAGCATCAGTGACGATACATATGACACTGGTAAGATCAGACACAACATGAACAGGAGGAGCTGGGGTGGAGGTGGGTTGCAGAGTGGTTGCAGCAGGCAGAGTAGGCAGGAGAAACAGTTTAAATAGGGCGCCATTTTGACATTAGCCAATAGGATGTGTAGAGGGCGACCACCTGAGCTGTCAGCTGACTGAGGGCTGGCTGAAGATCATCTGACTGTAGCCTTCAGCTTGACTCCGTGTCCTGCCTGAACTACAGCTATGCTTCATTTTCCTGATCTTCTTACACTACAATGTAGTGTACTATCAGGGCTGATCTCAGGATGCTAGAAGATGAGGACACTCTCATCACTGGGAAAGCTTCACCATGCACAGGCCAAGTGCACCAGACTGAGACAGACACCAAGCTCTCCATCATGCACACTTTCAAATTTATGCAGAAACAAATATACACACAGACATGCACATACACAACTCAGGATTATTTTTTCAACTCTCTTAAATGCTTATTTCTAATGCCATCAGTCATTAGCCACAGTATTAACAAAGGCCAAACAGTATCTGTTGGCATGCAACAGATACTGGTACATAACCAGGTACATCAGATTTTTTAATGCCATCACTCACTGTTTTCCCTGCGTCACAGTACCTGTCATCCTGGACAAACTTCTTAATCTACTCCCCTCTCTCCCCTCCTCTGTCACTAAGATTGTGCTCCATGTTGGCTCAAACGACACGTCCCTTAAGCAGTCCGAAATCACAAAGAGGGATTTTAACTGGCTTTTTAACGTTTTAAAGGACACTGGAAAGACAGTTTTTATCTCTGGCCCGATCCCCACTCTCGGTCGTGGAGCAGAACGTTTTAGCAGGATCCTCAGCCTCCATACCTGTCTCCAATCCACATGCCCCACCCACAACTTCGGTTTTAATCTGTTTTGGGACTGAGCATCACTTTTCAGTCATGATGGGATCCGCCCCAACAGGCGGGGTTGCCGAATGCTCTCTTACAACATCCAGTATATGATCCACTCCTCACCCGTCTGACAGTCTGCACTCAGCAGCCCATCTTTCCACACCCAGGCCACCCCCCCCCTCCTCCTCACAATAACCTCTGGTCATCTCAAAACAGTCCCACAATCCCCGCTCATTCACCTGCCAACCCCCACCTTCTCCTACAATCTGGACTTTTTTATTCTGACTGAAACCTGGCTGACTCTGGACAATTGTATTTCTCTTATAGAAGCCACCCCCCCTGATTTTACTCACCTCCATCAGCCCAGGCAGTCAGGCCGGGGAGGGGGGGTGGCTGTCATATACAAGAAGGATTTTAAATGCATCCCCATCACCTTCAGCACTTTTAGTTCATTCGAGCACCTTGCTTTTATTGTTAAATTGAAAGAACTTGTCTTAATCATAATCATTTATCGACCACCCAAACACAGCGCTGTTTTTATTCAGGAGTTTTCAGAGTTTCTATCCCCTTTTTATTTGTAAATATGACAAAGTTCTTATTTTGGGTGATTTTAATGTACATGTCTGCTGTCCCTCACAACCCTTAACTGTTGATTTTATTGAAACTCTTGACTCCTTTAATCTTACCCAGGCAATACGGGAACCAACTCATGTAAAGGGACACTGCTTAGATTTGGTTTTATTTACTGGACTTTCTCCATGGTTCTCCATGGTTTTATCCCAGCCTTCTTTTACCGATCACACTCCTGTTTTTAGAAGGGTTTTTAATGCATCGTCTGCTAGCAAGTTTTCAGAGCTTTTTATCGCTGCATCTTTAACTGCCCTCAACCCAGATTTTAATCCAGTTTTTAACACTGAAGAGCTTGTCTCTCTTTTTAACAGTATGTGTGGAACCATCCTGGACTCTGTAGCTCCTCTGAAAAAGAAAAGATCTAACAAAGAACCCCAACCCTGGCTCACAGAGTCCACCCATGAACTTAAGAGAATATGTAGAAGAAACGAACGCAAATGGAAGAAAACTGGGTTGGTGGTTTTCCTCGAAATTTGGAGAGACCCCTTGAAAAACTACCGGAAGGCAGTTAAGGATGCAAGGGGAGTCGGGAAGTTAAGCACTTTTTTAGTAGTTTTGAGCTGGTGTCCTTAAAATTTTTATCTGATATTTTAGCCAAAATGAAACCAGCTACGTGCAGTCTTGGTTCTATCCCCACCAGATTTCTCAAAGAGGTTTTTAACGTGGTTGGGCCCAGCATTTTATCCATCATTAATAGCTCTCTAGTGGAGGGAGTATTTCCCTCTGCTTTTAAACACGCTGTGGTCCAACCCCTTTTAAAGAAGCCAAACCTTGACCCCTCTGATTTGAACAATTTTAGACCAATTTCAAAACTTCCATTTTTATCCAAACTTTTAGAGAAGGTGGTTTCTAAACAGCTTTTAGGTTTTATGTCTGAAAACAACCTCTTTGAGAAATTTCAGTCTGGTTTTAGAGCAGGTCACAGCACTGAGACTGCCCTCCTCAATGTGACCAATGACCTTCTTTTAGCAGCAGATAGAGGGGAGGGCTCAATTTTAATTCTTTTAAATCTCAGTGCAGCTTTTGATACAGTTGATCATACTATTTTAATTAAACGTCTTAAAAACTGGGTGGGTATCAGGGGCACTGCACTTGGCTGGTTTCAGTCGTATCTTTTAGAACGAACCTTTGTGGTCACCATAGGCAATCACACCTCCTCTACCTCTGCTATCGCCTGTGGTGTACCGCAAGGTTCAGTTTTAGGTCCAATTTTATTGTCTATCTACATGCCAATTAATTCAGCGCCACAAAGTCTCCTTTCACTGCTATGCAGACGACACACAGATATACCTTCCTTTGAGACCTGAGGACCCAAGAGGCCTAGCTGCTGTCATGGACTGTCTAAGTGACATTAACTGTTGGATGGCACAAAATTTCCTTCAGCTAAATTATTCAAAATCTGAAATAATTCTCTGTAACATACAAAACTCCCCCCTCATTCAGTCTTGTCTCGGTCCACATTCAGTAATCATCAAACCAACAGCCAGAAATCTGGGAGTAACCTTCGATTCAGACCTCACCTTCTCCACCCATATCAACAAGATTGTCCAGTCCTGTTTCCCTCACCTGCGCTCCATTTCAAAAATTAAACAAGTACTCACCCCATCAGATCTCGAAAAGATAATCCACGCCTTCATTTTCTCAAGACTGGATTATTGTAACTCTCTCCTCCCTGGTTTAAACAAGAAATCTCTCTCTCGCCTCCAACTAGTTCAGAATGCAGCAGCTAGGCTTTTATCTGGTTTTAGTCGACGGCATCACATCACTCCAATTTTAGCCTCCCTTCACTGCCTTCCTGTCAGCTTTAGAATTGATTTTAAGATTTTATTGATTACTTTTAAAGCACTCAAAGGACTTACTCCGAGCTACATTTCAGAGCTTTTAATACCTTATGAGCCAACTCGCAGCCTCAGATCCTCTGGCGAAGGCCTCCTAGTCGTTCCAAAGTCAAGGCTCAAAACTAAAGGTGATAGAGCTTTCTCCATCAGAGCTCCTCGACTTTGGAACGACCTGCCAGAGGAGATAAGGCATGCAGAGACAGTTGCTTCTTTTAAGTCAATTTTAAAAACTCACTTTTACAGACTTGCTTTTATGTGATGCCATCTTTTATCATCTTTTACCTTTTTTCTTTTTCTCCTTTTTCTTTTACCTCTTTCTTATTTAGACTTACTGTCCTTTTAGCCTTTGTTTTACTTATAATCTTTTCTTATTTTATCTCTCAGGTCCTTCATTGATTTTAATGTTTTTTTTTAATTTTCCTTCATTTAATTTTATATATATATATATATATATATATATAAGATTTTTTTAATTCCAATTTATTTTTTATATTACCATCATTATTATTTTATTATGATTTTATTATTATTATTAATATCCTCTTTTATACTTACTAGCCTGTTTCCTGCCCTCCTTTTCTATTTCATTTTATGTTTTTATTTTGGTCCTCATGGTCCCATTTATTTTGTAGGGTTCTTGTATTGCCTGGGTTTCTTACAAAAAATGAAACAGGCCTACAATTCAGAGGCCTGTTTTTAACTGAGCTTTTGTTTTTATGTGTTTTTATTTTCATGTCCTGATGTTCTGTGTTTGCAACTGTTGTCTAAGCACTTTGTAAACTTTTGTTTTTAAAGGTGCTATATAAATAAAGTTATTATTATTATTATTATTATTATTATTATTATTATTATTATTATTATTATTACCAGAAAATTCTGCCATGTGATCCAGCAACAAAAATAACAATTAGGGTAAGGATGCATCTGTATGTGGTTTTACACCTGCTTGCATCTTCTCTTTATGGGAATGAGGACAGTGATTGGTTTTATTGATGTCATGACCAAAACACACCTTGGAATAATCCAGGAACTTTGTCCTAAGGGGACATCAAAGTTGACTTCAGCCTTTTTCATAACCGGTTTAAAACTCCTGAGCTTTAGAAAGTTTAAAATAGCTTAAAAAACAAACAAACAAACATACAAACAACAACAAGAAACATGTCCTAGTGGACCCCATGCATAAACGGAAAAAGAAATCAACCACAGGGTACCTGTGTTTTTTAAACTTATTTAAAGTCCCACTAGATGTTTTTTTTTTTTTTTTACTACCCAAAGTGTTATCAGTGGTCTTGAAATTGTGATTATGAAGTTTTTTTTTTAGCCAAAATCACATTATCTGTGTCTTTTTCAAGGGCTTTTCTTCTGCAGAGCTCCAGTAGCTCATTAGCAATTCACCTCTGAGTCGTGGGCGGAGACAGCTGTGCTCTGTACACTCCTTTTCACGCTAGCTTGCAGCCTAACATTGTCGGTGTAGAAGAAGTGGCAGGTAAAATAGAAGCTATTCAGCTCTGAGACATTAATGTCTTTGGGGGCATAATGAAAGCTAATGTCATAATTAGCTTTCTACCAAGCATTGCAATTCTCTACTGTTCACATGTTCCTCCATATTCCTCTTTACTTCTTGAAGTCTGGCCTGCAGAGTGGAGCGCCGGTGTGGAGCTTGGACTTGTGACATAGAAAATCCTGCTGTGTCTGAACTTGCCATTTGGGTCTGCCAGAGGTTCACAGTGATTTGAATAAGGAAATGCTCAGAAATGCAATTTTGCACTTAGTTTTCTTGTGATATGACTGTAGCATCAGAAAAACACCATATGAACATAAAGAAATAACAAGAACAACAAGAAAAACATGATTCTCATCGGAGTAGGTCTTGAAATGAAAAATTAATTATCACACTCAACCACAAGTCAGTAAAGAGGGGAGAATTACAGACCTCAGTGGGTGATTTTTTTTTAAATCTAGAAGTGGAAGTGATGGCAGCTTTGGCAACAGCTTGAAAACTGCAAAACTTACCCTTCATGCACTCTGTATTTATCAGATCATGCACAAGTGAAAACTAGGGACTTGTTTGAAGGCTGGGGTGTGTGTGCATGATTGCATTTGAGTGTAGTGGGAAAAACATGCACGCAAACTCAGTGAGATCCTTCTTTTAAGAGATTTTTTCAAGGATAATAACTAGTTTCCTTGTGTCAGACTGGTTTTACACAAATGTGGAGCTAGAGAAGGACGTGCTTTTATTTTTTCTTGGTCACTGTGCCCATGTGTATTCATTTCATTCACTCCCCGAATGTAAACTCATTTTTATAACCTTGTTGCATGGTGTCCTTTACACTTGACAAATACATAACTCCCCATATTTATGCCTGAAAGTGTTGATGATGCACAGAGTTAATCTATTAAGTTAATCTGCTGCGGAATAACCAACATATCGTAGCCCATCTTCCATTGTAGGGTTAACTGTGCTGAACCTGTAACCCTGTTTATGTGCTGGAACATGCAGCAGTGACATGCAGGGCTGGCAGCCAGTGAGGTAAGCTGTTGGCTGAATGTATCCTCTGTGTGCTGGTGTGGGCAGTGCCACTGTGCGCCAGGCAGCAGGCCTGACACAACCTCTGAGCGGAGGAGGACAGAAACACAAAAGATGCTGTTTCTCTCTAGTTTTATGTCATTCTTGCTCACACAGATGCTGCAGAGTTCAGTTAGACACCACCATCTCACAATGATGTGAGAAGCTTTATCTAAATCTCTGTGGGGATACCGTTTGCTCAATAGTAAGCTAGTTTTTTTCCTGTCCTGTATTTTTCCTCTGAAGCCTCCTGCTCTCTGTATTGACTTCAGTTGACTTTTTAAAATATTGACTGAGTTGTAGACTGCTGAAAACACTCAGGGCTGAGTGGACCTCATTTTAACCAGGGATAAGACTGCACATCTATCTGTGGTTTAATCTCATTACATAACCGTCTAACCGCCAGAGTGTGTGGATACAGCAGATTAAAAATAGCATGCAGCCTGTGGAGTCATGGACAGAAATTGAGTTCCGATGTTTGGAAGTTTCTCTTTTTCACTTGAGTGTGTGCATGTGTGTCTTTGTTATTTTGCAGCGTGTGGGATGCTCTGACAGACAACTATATTTCCGCCTGGGACAACCCCGACCAACAGGGACTCAACGGCAACCTGTCTGAGCAGGAGGTATGAAAGTGTTCTTCACAGCTCTGTCATTCACTCAGATCTCTGATGTGCCTCTTTAGGCTTGTAAAAAGATTTGTGAGGTTGGAGTGAGGTGTGGGAACCTTTTACATGTGCAGTTGTGTTCAAGAAGATTTTAATAGCCAACATTAAAAATTTCTTAAAATAATTTTTGTTACATACTCTGCATGGGTTTGTTGCATATAGGGAGGACATTATGATCAAAGCAATTAGAACATTTGAGAAAAAAGTCGAATGCAAAAAAAGAAACATTTAAAAACATTTAAAACAACACACCTCTTACAGTCAAAATGCAAACTGAACAATACATCTTTTTTTCACGTAACTGTTATTTTAAAGTTTGTTAAAATTACACAGATGATATATGAATAGACAATAGAAAAATTTCATAAATGTTAAAAACTACGAAAGTACCCTTTAGAACAGCTTGATGAATGGAGAAAATTAAATAATTCGTAACCACAAAAACAGTTTTTAACGCTTATTATGTAAGAACATATTACGTAAGGACACGTTGTCTTTGGGATAGTAAAGGCACTGTTTTTGTTTCTTTGGGCATTGTTGTAGATTTTCAAACAATTGGATTATTTGAATATGCAACATGTTGTTTTAAAAGCTCAGTATTGTCATTCCTATGTACTCCTTATTGAGTTTTCAGAATAAATTTTCAAGTTTAAAAGTGAAAATCAAACTGTGTAACAGGTTATGTGAGGTGATACTTCAGTGTTGTCACAGTCTGCAAAAACCATCACCATAGGTATAAACATACATTTTTTTTGGTTTTTTGATGCACACATTGGCCCTCATTTATCAATCTTGCATAGAACTGAGCGCAGATCTGAACGCAGGATTCATTGTACGATAGGACACACGTGAGATTTATGAAAGGGTTCATATCTGACCAATTCCAGCGTATGTATGATCCGGTCTTGATAAATGCGGCGGTTGAAATCGATCGTCAGTAACATGTTAACGTCCTTGAATATTTGTGGTTCAGAAGCCTCACCCACTGAGGTCAAACATGGAAAAGGAGAAGTATTAGAAAGATGTGAAACTTTTCTGAGCTAAATGTGGAAATCCTCGCATCTGTGGTGGAAACTAACAAGGATTTTCTCTTTGGAAGCATCAAAACTGGTATAAAAGCAGTCCAGAAAACTCCTGTCTGGAGCAGGATTATGGTGGCGATGAACAGCACTGCAGCGGAATAGTGGCCAGTGGCTGAAGTTTGAATAAATCATCTGTGAGTAAGTTGCTCATGATGATAAATTAATATCTCATACACAACATAACATAGGGTACATTGCTCCTATTATTGAAAGTATTTAGTTTTAATTTGTTGTGTCTTTGTAATGTAGAGCAGACTGGAGAGGCTGACAGAGGCTGAACAAAAATAATTATTAACGTCACCAAATAGTGTGTTCCTGCCCCTGAGGCACATTTTTATGGATTTCTATTGGAATTTTATCACTGATTAAATAACAAGAGCACTTTCTAAACTTACACTTTACATGTCAGAATCCATGGAAAAGGTCCTGTCTCCTCTGTACAGCACCTTAGTGGAGTCTCTCCTCGTTATTGTTCTCCGGGCATCGGGTCCTCACGGTGCACCAGCCCAGCCAACGGCACTCCATTTGCCAGTGCAACATTGTGCAAAACTGTACTGGTCCAAATGATGTCCCACACCCTTTCAGGAGTGTACAACAACGTCCCAGCTGCTGGGCCAAGACAGAAACTCCTGCCTTTTACGCAGCGCTCCACAGTGGCCCGTGTGCACAATGTTAAAACGGCGCTCCTGCTCTGTGGCAGTGTTTCTGGGCAGATTTATCAAATAGACCTATTCACTAAGGACATAACAAATTTTATTTTGTTGTATTTACGTCTCAATCTTTAATGAAATCTGGCTGATTGTGCTTAATGACAGGTTTGAGGTTTGTTTATCAATTATTTTGAGACAGACATTTTCTGCACCACAGATCCACACTGACTCAAACTTGCGTACACGATGTCAGACCTGTCGTGAGATTTGGTTGTAGCGTATGCTCACGTGCAGATTGATAAATGCCGATCCTCATGTCGCAACTTGCGTACTCACGGTGTACGTGAGTTTTCCGTCATATGCAAGCTTGATAAATGAGGGCCAGTATGTGTTAAGTCCTCACTTTGTCATACTGCATTATAAAAGCATAACTGTTAAGAACAACAAAAACACTGAGATAGAGTTTTTAACTTCTTTCACCCACTTCTGATAGAAAAAAGGATGTACGGGTTGATGGTGAGTGAACGGGTGGTTATAATTACCTGCTCACTTTATATCATCTACTGTCTAGATACCAAAATAAGTTAAACACAAGCATTTTAATAAGGGGAAATTGAATATGGAGTGAACAACACAGATTGAAACCAGTCAATATGAGCCATAAACCTGTGTGCCTTTAAATCTAACTTTTCCTTCTTTGCTCACATTACTCTCCCTGCAAAGCATTAAAGTGGGAAATTGCAACAACTAAAGAGGTTTTCCCGTCAGACAAAAGACAAGACAAGCCCAAACTGCTGTTGTTTACCACATATTATTTTTGTGTTTTTATACCAGCGCTAAAATAAAACTAGGGCTGCAGGATATTGGAAAAAACCAACATTGCAAATTTTTCAACCCTGCGATATATATTACAATATTAAAAAACACAGGAATTTTCACCAGATAACCTAAATAGCACTTTATACTATGCTGCACTGCTGAAATCTTATGGAGAGTTAACCTGCACTATTCTTACCTCTTTTTGTGTATGTTATTAGAATGGCTTCTGTCTGTCTTGGGGATATTTTTAGCTTGCTTTTATTGTGCTAGGATGTTATTGTGGCAACAGATGAAAGGCACTGCCAACACAGAACACCTGTTTTAGTTGACATCATCCTTCTTGTAACCCAAATAATTCCAGATAACTGACGTTGCTTTTCTTTTTGGCAACAAATCTTCATTTTTGGTGGTTTTCTCTTGTTTGTTGCTCATTTTGCAATCGTTGTTGTTGTTACCGGTGTTGAGCCGGGAAACGTATGTCCACCTTGAAAAATGCACACCGTTCATAGTAGGGTGGTCATCGGACACGTAAAATTTAAAACCCATACAATTCCTATTTGTGGGGCCAAACAGTGATGAGTAATAAGGCTGCACGATATATCGTTTGAGCATCGTCATCGCGATGTATGTGTGTGCAATAGTCACATCGCAGAGCCTGCGATGTCGGAGGTGAATGAACTCATCTAATTTCAAGGGTAGCTGACTGAGATACACTTGCATGTGACTCTGCATGTGCTGTGCAGCGATCCACCGATCACCACCCCTGCACATGTCCTGCACATGGAGTGAGTTGCTGGCACTACCGGAGTTGAGCTGAGAAACGTGTGTCCACTGAGAATTACTTTCAGAACACTACTCATCACTGTTTAGCCCCACAAATAAGAATTGTTTGTGTTTTGCATGCAATTATAGATAGATAGATAGATAGATAGCTAGATAGATAGATAGATAGATAGACTTTATTGATCCCAAAAAATACTAAAAATACTGAGTATATAAAATAAATACAGACTAAATATTCTAAACATCCTAAGAGATAAAAGTGAGATATGAAGAACATGGGCTATTGAAATGAGTAATAAATATGAAATGCAAAGTATTACAGATGGGGTGATAGATATACAGAAAATTTAAGGTGCTCAGTAATGTGATGTGGTAGGAGTTTTAAAAATGGACTATACAGCAGACAGATGTGAGTCCCTGTCTGACAGAAGAGAATTATTACATTGTGCAATAGCTTGTGGAAGGAACGATTTCCTGTATCTGTCCCTTCGACAGCAGAGCTGCAACAGTCTGTTGGAGAAGGAGCTCCACTGTCTGTCCAGAGTGAGGTGGAGAGGGTGGTCAGGGTTATCCATGATGGATAACAGTTTGTTCAGTGTCCTCCTCTCCACCACAACCTCCACAGTGTCCTGTTTGCAGCCAATCACGGAGCCAGCCTTCCTGATCAGTTTGTTGAGTCTGTTGGTGTCACTGGCTCCGATGCTGCTCCCCCAACAAACCACGGCAAAGAAAAGTACGCTGGCCACCACAGACTGGTAGAACAGCTAGAGTCTGCTCATCCCCTTCTTGTAGACAGCGTCGGTGTTGGGTTTCCAGTGCAGTCTGTTGTTGATATGGACGCCCAGGTACTTGTAGACCTCCACTTCCTCCACATCTTCTCCCAGGATGCACAGCGGCTGTGAAGCCGTCCTCTTCTTCCTGAAGTCGATGACCATCTATCTGGTCTTGGTGACATTCAGCCTCAGGTGATTGCGTCCAGCCCACTCCACAAAGTTATCCACCACTGTTCTGTACTCCCCATCCCTTCCCCTGCTTATACACCCAACAACAGCCGAGTGACTTGACTCGGAGTTGTACTGAAAGTCAGTGGTGTACAAGGTGAAAAGAAAAGGGGACAGCACAGTCCCCTGTGGAACTCCTGCTTCACTGACCACCATGTCAGACAGAACACTGCCCAGACAGACAAACTGTGGCCTGTCCGTCAGGTAGTCGGTGATCCATGAGACAATGGAGGTGTCGACACCCATCACCCACAGCTTCTTACCCAGCAGCAGTGGCTGGATGGTGTTGAAAGCTCTGGAGAAATCAAAGAAGGTGATTCTCACAGTGCTGCCACCACCATCCAGATGCAGATGAGCTTGTTGCAGCAGGTAGATGACAGCATCGTCAACTCCCAAATGGGGCTGGTAGGCAAACTGTCGAGGGTCTAAGAGCTCCTTCACCTGCGGCCTCAGGTGGGCCAAGACCAACCTCTCCAGCACCTTCATTAGATGGGAAGTGAGGGCAACTGGTCATTAGTCATTGAGGTCAGATGGAGTCGACTTCTTTGGGACAGGAACGAGACAGGACATCTTCCACAGCACTGGGACTCTCTCTTGACTCAGGTTCAGGTTGTAGAGGTATTGGATGACAGAAGACAGCTAGCTGGCACAGGTCCTCAGGATCCTAGGGCTGATGCCATGAGGTCCTGCTGCCTTCCTCTGGTGGAGCCTCTCCAGCTGTCTCCTAACCTGGCCCGTAGTCACGGTCATGTGGGGGTGGGGTGAGGGGGAGGGGGTGCTGATGTCTCTAGTGGAGGGGGAGGTTAAGGGAGAGGGGGAGGAGGGGTGCTGCGCAGGATTGCTCACCACAGGGGGGAGAGGGGGGAGGAGTTGATGTGGTGAGGGAGTGTGGGGGACTGAGTGTATGAGGGAGACAGACGGCTGTGAGCTGAACCTATTAAAGAAAGTGTTCAGCTTGTTGGCTCTCTCCAGGCTGCCTGATGGTTGCCTTTGTCTCCCTTTACAACCTGTGATGTGCTTCATCCCAGTCCACACCTCCCTCACATTGTTTTGCTGGAGTTTGCCTTCAGCTTCCTCCTGTAGGTGTCTTTACACCCTCTCAGTTTCTCCCTGAGTTCATGCTGCTCTCTCCTCAGCTCCTCTCTGTCACCAGATTTGAAAGCCCTCTTCTTATTATTAAGGAGGGCTTTCAGGTCACTGGTGATCCATGGCTTATTGTTGGGGAAGCAGCGGACAGTCCGGTTTGGGATGGTGGAGTTTTCACAGAACCCGATATATTCTGTGATGCAGTCTGTCATGCTGTTGATGTCCTCCCCGTGTGGCTCACAGAGTACACCCCAGTCTGTTGATTTGAAGCAGTCCTGCAGTGCCTCAGCAGCCTCCTCAGTCTACCTCCTCACCGTCTCCTCCACAGCTCCTCCAGGATGTCGGGCCTGGCTCCGGGCTGCAGCACAGGTTTACTCAGCGCAATCAGCTGATCATGCGTGTAAATAAAGCGCTCACCGTAGCGTCTGTGAACCTCAGTTGCCATGAGTTCTAAAGTGTCAAAAAGTGTCCAGAAAAATGGACAGAAAAGTTCAAAAAGGACAAAAGTCGGTGTATCAAGTAGTAAGACACTACCTGGTGAAGACACATATGTGTCAGGACAAAAATGAAAGAGAAAAAGATACAAAAGTATAAAACACTCGGGAGCTGCTGTAACAGGCAGCACGGCGCCACAGCCTGAAGAAAATTCTTGAAGGACATGCGTTTCTCAGCACAATCCCGGTAACAACAACAACAACCGCAAACTGAGCAACAAACAGAGAAAACCACAGAAGATGAAGACTTGTTGCCAAAAAGAAAAGGAAAGTCAGTTATGTGTAATTATTTCGGTTACAAGATGGATGATGTTGACCAAAACACGTGTTCTGTGTTCATCTGTTGCCACAATAACATCCTAGCACAATAAAAGCTAAAAATATCTCTGAGACAAACAAAAGCCATTCTACTAACATTCACAAAAAGAGGTAAGATCAGTGCAGGTTAACTGTCCTCAAGATCTCAGCAGTGCAGCATAACATTAAGTGCTATTCAGGTCATCTGGTGAAAATTCCTGTATTTTTTAATATCGCAATATATATCGCAGGGTTGAAAAAAAATGTTAGTTTTTTCCAATATCATGCAGCCTTAATGAGTAATGTTCCGAAAGTGGGCGTGCGTTTCTCGGTACGGCACTGGCAGCGTCAGCGTCTCACTCCATGTGCAGGGGCATGGTTTCCTTCACTCTGATTTTGATTGACAGCTGGCAGGGTTGTCTGATTGGCAACTGAGTAAAGAACAAATGTGATTGATGGATCGCTGCACAGCACATGCAGAGTCACATGCAGTGTATCTCAGTCAGCTGGCCTTGAAATTAGATGAGTTCATTCGCTTCCTACATCGCAGGCTCTGCAATGTGACTATCGTGCACGTGTACATAACGATATATCGTGCAGCCCTCAATAATACCTGACTTGCTTCCTGACTTACTGTGAAATCCATTTAGTCAGTGAGACTGACAGTTTCGGCGATAAACTGTGTTTCTGTGTCATCCAGGGGCTTTTTTTAATCCCACAAAGAAGATCAGTGTATTTACAGAGACTGTCTGGGTTAAATCACTCAAAACTAAAGGAAATCTGTGATGATTTTTGGATTCAATTTCAGGAAGCAGTGTCATCGCTAGCCAACTATGCTTAATAGAGGCCGCCATGTTTGTTTTGGTCAGTTGACCAATCATAGGTTGTATCAGTTATCAGCTGACCTGTAAAGTTCCAATCAGAAGCCAGTCTTCCTGTTTTCAGCAGAGCAGTTAAGATAATGGTGATAACAACGATTCAGACTTTGTAGCACTTCATCAGAGACCCTCAATGCACTTTACATTGGAAACATCTTTCATACAACGACATGGGGCCTATTCTACGAAGCAAGTTCGAGCTTGGAGCTACCTCGCTCAACTTAGCGCGGTAGCCAGCTGTCTTGCTAAACGGTCTTACGACGCTGGTTATCAACCTCGTAAGAGGATCCAGCTTTGCTATGAGCGCATGCACGCATGTAAGGCGGGGCCCGCTGCATCTGACCAATCGCGAACATGGACCAGTCTGGAGCGTCAGAGCAGGCCGGAGAGCGAAGGACCGCGTACTTTACAAACGAGGAGCAGGAGACGATCATGAGAAAGTATGAAGAATTCAAATCTAGCATAAACCTCAAGTGCAACACCATCGCCGCTGCAAAAGCACGGCGGGAATGGTGGCAGAAAATTGATCTTTGATGCCATTATCACCCTGAAATAGCACTGTTCAACGTGCGCTTTTAACTAAGGTGACCAGACGTCCCCGGATTGGATGATCTGTCCCCGGCTAAAGCTGTCCCCGAAAATGTCCCTGATTTAAGCGTTTCGTGGATGAGAAAAAAAATGTTGCATGTATGCTAGAACAACGGTTATTACAGTAGGTAGGAAGCACAAGTAAGCAGTCCGGAACAACAGTTTTTACTGAGGTTATTCCAAGGGTTGTGCGCTGTTACTAAATAGTACTGAGATGTTGTCTGTTATCACGCAGCCCATGCAGCCCCTGCAGTCCCTGCAGCCCCTGCCCATTTATTTCCAAGATGAATTCATTCATTTGTTCATTCCTATCGTGTTTACATTTTTTGTGTGATATCTGGGCCATATGAGCCTTTCATAAAGGTGGTCATCCGGAAAAGTAAGTGTGTCCGTGCGGTCCCTGAAAACTCTTGCGCACCGGAGTGCTCCTCAGACGATGCGAGCACCGAGGTCTATAGGATCCTTCAAGAACAGACAAGCCATTTTTCAAGACAGCTCATTGGTCAGTGGGTGGGGTTTTTATACTCAGTGAGTTCAACCTGGAACCTAACCTGCCCCGGAGCAGGTTAGCCATTCAGCGTACGTTGCCAAGGAGACTCGCCTTGCTAAGAAGTGAACCTGCGTCGTAGAACAGGAAACCCCGAACTTACCCTCTAAGTTACCTCGCTAAGCAGTAATCCTGCTTCGTAGATTAGGCCCCTAGTAGTGGTAAACTACCTTAATAGTCACAGCTGCTCTGGGGCAGACTGACAGAAACATGGCTGCCAGTTTGCATCATCACCAAACATCACTCACAATCAAACCAGTGGAGGACACATACCAGGAGCAAGGTGGGTTAAGTATCTTGCCCAGGGACACAAAGGGCAGACAAGGAATAGAGTGGAATCGAACCACCAACCCTCCAGTTATTGGACGTCTGCTCTATCTCCTGCACTACTGCCGCCCTGATAGATGATAAAAGTAGTAAGACAATTTGTGTTGTTGACACCTGTTGAGGCCTTGAACTTAAGCTTAGCTTGATTTCTATCAGGTGTTGAGATAGGTGAGTGTTGGACTTTGTAGGGCAACCCTACAGCTCCAGTGTTTTGAAATGTGTGAACCAGACAGCAGATGCATTATTGAGTGTGTATATCTGGAAATATAATACAGTGATCATTTGTGATATGATCTTTCTGGCACAATAACATAGAGTCCATCACGGTAAAATTGACAGGTGACAGAAGTAACTTTGTGTTTTTTTTAAATCACATCTTTGGGCTGTTCTATTTCTTTATTGGAAAGGATAGGATTTATGTATGAGGTATGCAGGGCATTGACCTTGACTGCTGGGTCAGAGTTCTTCAGAAGGGAAAAACAGGTCTGCATGTATTGGCATTACTATCAGCCAAAATTAGTCAGAAAATATAGTAATGTTCAATATCCCTGTGCTAAACCTGGAATATTTTGAGCGATCTCTTTAAAATCAGTCAAGATTTAAAAGCATTTTTTTGTATGCCGGGTTTTAAATGAGCTTTTTTTATTTTTATTTTTTGGAGTGGTTTGGAACCAACATTATTCCCACTTCATAAATGCTGAACAAACATCCTCCTGTGTGGTGATATGTGGGTGATGTAAAGATGTGCAACGCAACATGCAATGACAAAATATTGGACTGAAAAGCTAAATGGCATCGGTTTCTGTGCCATTTTCCTTAATATACAAAAACACATTTATCTAACCTCTGCAAATAATAAAGTAATCGAATCTCCTGCAGGCAGTGGGTACATCGTCAATTTAATCCACTTGGAAAGCATTTGAAGAAAACAAAATTTAATTCTCTAGGTGCTAAGATATGCATAAACAGTGTCATTTATGAATGAAAAACTGATTCAGCAGTGTACAGTGACGTTTAGAAGTCCTGCTGAGACGTCTGACCCAGAAAACAAGCTCAGAACCCCAGAAAATCACTCACACACTCTGCACCTCTATCTTAAATTGGTTCTGGCAGAAATGAAGGAATCCATAGTTAACTTTCTCCTGTCTGGTTTTAATTTTGTTGTTATAGTTTCAGATATCTGAAAATTAAAATTGCAACACGCAGCACTGTTATTTTTGATTTAAAGTGCCAAACTGGGTGTCTAACAGCTCCACTTGAAGACATGCTTGTCCAACCATGACTTCTGTGCTGTTCAGCAGAGCTTCTCCTCTTCCTTTTCCTGCTGTAATTGAATGACATATTTAACCAGACAGCAGCCTCCATGTTTGAACCAGTGAAGGTCAGGGCAAACAGTTTCAGCTCCAGCTGTTACTGCTTGACCAAGAGATTTTGTGTAGGTAGTGTTGCAGTTTTTGGGGGTTAATAGTTTACCCTTGCCTAAGAAACAATAGCCCTTTTGCACTTTTTTTTGCCAAAGACACTACAGGCCAAAAGTTTGGAAGCAAGATCAGATTTGTACAAAAAAAGATCATACTTTCATATACATGATTTGCAACACAATAAACATGACTATTGTGTAAAGAGTAACTTTTCAGAAGACATTTTGACTATAATTATTAGGTATTTGAGTTATTGTTGCTTAGACTTTGCTTTCTTTAAAGTAACCTCCTCTGGCTTTAACAACAGCTTGGCATATACCAGGCATTCATTCCACAAGTTTTTAAAGGCATGTTCCAGGGATTGCATTCAAAGCTTTCTTAAGTTCATTAAAAAGAGACTGCTGATTCGTGGGACGCGTTTTTTGGACCGATCGATCCAATTCATCTCGCACAAGCTCAATTGGAGAAAGGTATGGAGACTGAGGGGGCCAAACCATATTTTGAAGAACACTTTCCTCTTCTTTTTTGTCTTGGTAACCCTGACAGAGCTTGGCAGAGTGCTTAGGGTCATTGTCTTGCTGCAAAACAAGCTTATGAGCCACGAGTCTGAGTCCAGATGGAATAGCATGGTGCTTGATAGTGGTGTGTCGGTCATGAACGAACGGATCAAAAGAACTAGTTCTTTTTGGTGAACGAAATGAACGAGGTCATCCCCCCTAAATGATCCGTTCAGTCCGTTCAGTTCTTTTAAATTTTGCTGAAGAGTCAGTTCACCGTTCCTTAGGGCGGGACTGTCTCCGTGCTTGCCTGTCTTATCCTATCGTCACGCTCTGTGGGTGGGTGGGGCTCAGAGAAGCAGCAGCAGTACTGAGCTGACTGAAAGACCAGGACCGATGACCAACTCAGTTTCCGTCTTTTCAGTCAGCTCAGTCTGACCGAGAGATTGACCGACTCTCAGACTGACTGAGTACAAGCGTTCACTCTCTGCGAGGTGCTGTCAGCCTGTCACTTGCCGACCAACTTGCGAATGCAACAGGATGTACTGAATAAAATAAACTAAAAGGCATGCAGGGGGTATCCGTACTCACGAGTCCAACAAACAGTGCCGCGGCCGCCACGCGAGCCGGCAGCCGAGCGAGCGGGACAGTCACACACACAGGCACACAGCTGCTACTGCAGCCAGAGGCAGAGACTCACTAGCAGAAGGTTTAGCATGCCAAGCTAACAAACAGCAGTTGATAAGAGTATGCAGGGTTGCTTGAGGCAGCCTGATGCGTTTGTCCAGCAAAATATCCTGATGCTGTACAGTGTCTGTGTACAGACACATCTGTATTCAGCCACCATTTGAATTAGTACCAACACGTAATGTGCTAGCCTAGATATATAGCTTGGTTTAGCTGGGTCAACATGCCGATGTTTCGGTGTAAAAAGTGACCCTGTTACCTGGAGACTTTCGAAAAAATGCGCATGAGATTGTCCAAAGTCGCACAGCTGTTGAATACGTATCCTTAGATCTCTCTGTGTTTTGAATGTCAGCAAAGACGTATCTGTTGGAAATGCTTGATTTTATTGTCACAAAGGGAGCTAAGAGGCTCTCGTTCTCTCACGGGAACACCAACAAGCTCAGGCTCCCTTTCAGCTCAATCAGGGAGGAGTTCATAGTGGCATGGACACGGGAACACCTGCAGTACTCAGGATCCAGGGACACCAAAGTGTCTGGGGCTGGAATCGTGGTGAGGACAGGGAGAAAGTGGAGGGCAGCCAATGCAGTCCAGCAAGCTGAGTCTCGGCTGAAGCACAAGGCTATCCCCGGCACAGTGGCACAAGGCAGAGCGAGACTTGGGATGGCAACATCCCCTGCCAGTGGGAGGGAGAGACAGAGGCTGGTGCAGGAGGAGGTGCGAGCTTCAGTGGAGGAGGAGCGAACCAGCAGAGCAGTGGCCATGAAGCAGCAAGGAGCCTGGATGAAGTGGGAGCAGACGTTGGAGCGGCACATCACCTGTAAGGACATCTGGCAGTGGAACCATCAGAGGATCAAGTTCCTAATCCAAGGGGTGTATGATGTCCTCCCAAGCCCATCTAACCTGCACATCTGGGGCAAAATGGAGACACCTCCATGCACTCTATGTTCCAAGACGAGGACATTGGAGCACATCTTGAGCAGCTGCTCCAAGGCACTGAGCGAGGGTCGCTATCAATGGAGACATGATCAGGTCCTAAAATCCATAGCTGAGGCAATCAACAAGGGGATTAAGGACAGCCGATTCACCCAAGCTACAGCCAAGGCCATCCAGTTTGTGAAGGCAGGACAGAAGCCAGGGAAAGCGCCAAAGAACTGCTCTGCTGGGTTGCTCTCCACGGCCCAAGACTGGGTGATGACAGTTGACCTAGAGAGGCAGCTGAGAATACCACCGCACATCACCCAGTCCAAATTGAGACCAGACATCATCCTGGTCTCTGAGGCTACAAGGCAACTGGTCATGCTCGAGTTAACAGTTCCATGGGAAGATAGGATGGAGGAGGTGCAAGAGAGGAAGAGGGAGAAGTACCAGGAGCTGGTGGAGGACTGTCAAAAGAACGGCTGGAGGACCAGATGCATGCCAGTGGAGGTGGGGAGCCGGGGATTGGCCAGCCACTCCCTGAGCAAGGCTTACAGCACACTAGGCATGACAGGAGCCCATCACAAGAGATCCATCAACAGCAATGCAAAGGCTGCAGAGAAAGCGTCGAGATGGCTCTGGCTGAAGAGGGGAGAGAGGTGGGGGGAGTAGAATGCCACTTGGACACAGGCTGGGGTCTGATCAGCCTCGGTCGGGTCGCCTGGACGAGGGTGTCTGTTGTGAGACCCGAAACACCCAGTGACTCCAGGAAACAACACTGATGATGTGTCTAAGTCAGTGCATCAGGTGATGTTTGTAAAACCGTTCGTTCAGAGTCTGAACAGATCTCCCCCTGCATAAACCCGGTCAGCCGTGTCGAGTCAGTCCGTTCACTCACGTTCACGTTTGTTGAGCGAATGGACTGACTAACGACCAAAAGACCGAAATGAACGGATCTTTTTAATGAACAAACCGGAATGATCCGGTTCACTGAAATGAACGGTTTTGCCCACCACTAGTGCTGGAGGATGGAGTGGTACTGTTCCTTCTTCATGATACCCTTTACTTCAAACAAATCTCCTACTCCATCACCTGCAAAACATCCCCATACCATGGAACTACCACCTCCACGCTGAATTGTGGGTGTAACACATGGTGCTTTCAGACGTTCCCATGTTTATCCTCTGCTTTTGTAGTAACTCTCTTTCGTCCAGGTCTTTTTCTATCATCATAACTTCCAGGTTCCTCTCGTCTCTTCAGAGTGTAGTGGACTCCTTTGTTAAACACCTTTAGTTGTTTTGCAATTTCTCTTTCGGTGTATCCGTCTTTCCTCAGTGTACAAATCTGTACTTTTGTTTCTTTACTCAGTTGCTTCTTTCTAGCCATTTTTGGGGTAGTTTGAATGCAGTTGAGATTTATTAGGATTTTTGTATGCAAACTCTCAAAAGCCCAAAAGTTGAAGTGAATAATCCAACTGTGCTTTTTTGCTTTTGCACTGAAGTTGTGACTCTTGCAAATGTTTCCAACCCTAAAATTAAGCCCTTATTATCTTTTTCTGACATATATTTAGCAATGGTCTGTTAACATCAATGTATATCTAAAGGTAAATGGAGTAAAATGGTGCATTTCCATGAAAGCAACATCTGATCATGGAGTAAATACATCCCAAAATACATACAACTCATGCTGGATTTTAAAAAAAGCATTGTGAACAAAAACTTGAAGTTACTCCCAACTGTTCGGCCTGTAATGGCCTTGCTTCCAAACTTTTGGCCTGGAGTTTACATCTGCAGCTAAACAGTATGTATGGCGTCACTGTTCATAAATAGTTCAGTGGTCTAGAGCATCTCTCTTTCAATCAAATCTAACAAACAGAAACATCTTACATCCTATTTGACTATCTGCCTATCGTCTATCGAAAGTCTCAGGTAAATCTAGGAGTTTTACTGAAGTCACAGTGGAGTCGCAGCATGCTCCCGTCATCTCGATCGTTAAGTCGAAGGTGGTAATCTGCGCTGTTTCATATTAGTCTTTTCCTAGTCTTGGGTTTGCGATAATACCAAATGTGTTTGATATTAATCGCAGGTGCAATGTCGTAACACAACCAACAACCAATAGATGAGCTCTGACAAAAGTGGAAAAGGAATCTGACAGTCAAAACAAGTATAACAATGTATATAGAATTACTGGCGATAAAATGTCAAAAGTGGACAGTCCAGAAAGAGGAGCGGATTGTGGGGCTTTGGGCAGATCAGCCTTGCCTATTCAACATCAACTGTAGGGTTTCCCCAACATGTAACGGTGCACCGCCACAGCTAATTAAAAGCCGCCCCACCTCAAAAATATTTTTTTAATGCGCTACTTTTACTCAGTATGTATTATATGCAGTGCACATGGGCTTCAACTTGGTACTCACTAATGCTGATTAGTGAGTATAGAGTACCGCTAAGATATGCATAAACAGTGTCACATGGTAAAAAACAGTGTCACATAGAAAACTCTCTACCACTCTGGACTGTATATGTTAAACCTGTCATAGCTGAGCAGATAAGGAAATAATCGTTCACTTTGTTATACAAGCATGAAATTTGGTACATATACTCTTCAAACCCCACTCTTTTCAAAAATAACATTAGCCATGCAAAATTCCAAGACGGCGGCCCCAAAATCCAAGATGTCCGCCCCAAAATGTGGTTTTTCCTTTACAACTCAAAATGACTTGATTTTAAGCCCCATACATATATTGAAGTTGAATATAAAGTTGTTTTTGCAGACATTTTGGTACCTAGTACATCTCTGTATCCATTACGGTTCTTGAGATACAGCATATAGATACTTGTACAGAATTGGCAGAGTCAGAAATTTGTAACACCGATTGTTGTTACGTGCATATGGTTATATGAAAATATCATTTCCATTATCTGTTATTTTCATTAGGGTTATATCATGAAATTCGAAAACCAAGATGGTGTCCAAGATGGCTGCCATTGCCTTGAAGTAATCATGAATTCAGCAGAGATGAATCATGAATTCAGAAGGATGAAACTTGTCATAAAAAGTTAAAAAATAGGCATTTTGTGACAATTTTCTGATTTTTGTTATGGTGTTAGGTATGTGTATAAGGTTTTAAAAATCCACCGCAAACGATATGGGTACGCCCCCCTAGTGGTTTGTTTGCCCAGAATCCAAAATTCAACACCTCAGTTTGAAACCCAAAGTAAGTGATAGAAGAGATTTTTCAATGGATTCTGTTACTATTGGGTATGGGGAGTGGCTACTCTCTGGCTACTTGCGGGGGAGGCCACGTGGAGGCTGTCTCCACCCCCTTTTTTTTTTTTTTTTTTTTTTTGGGCTCTTTTTAAATAAATCTCTTCTATCACTTGTTTTGGGTTTCAACCATATACTAAACTATCTAACATTAAATACCATGCAAACCGACCACTAGGGGATGCACTCAACTTGTTTGCGGTGTTTTTTAAAAACCTTATCATAATAATAATAATAATAATACATTTTATTTGAAGCGCCTTTCACTCACTCAAGGACACTTTACAGAACATATAAAACAATAATAAAACACTATTAACAATTAAAATCATCAATCATCAAAACAGTTAAAATCAACAAAGCAACATTAAAACATGAACAACAGCAAAGGAATAAATAAAGAAATGAATAATAGCAATTGAGATTTAATTTAAAAAAGTGAGTTAGGGGTGGTGGGAGGGATAGGCCAGTTTAAACAGGTGTGTCTTGAGTTTGGACTTGAAGAGGGGGAGGGAGTCTATGTTGCGGATGTGTGATGGTAAAGAGTTCCAGAGTCGGGGGGCAGAGCGACTGAAAGCTCTGCCCCCCATGGTGCTGAGGTGAACAGGGGGCACAGTGAGGTGGAGAGAGGAAGAGGATCGGAGGCGGCGTGATGGAGTGGCGAGGTTGTGGGTGGCTTTAAAGGTATACAGGAGGATTTTGAACTGGATTCTAAGTGGGACCGGGAGCCAGTGGAGTTGCTGTAGGATGGGGGTGATGTGGTGGGACGAAGGAGTTTTGGTGATGATCCGGGCAGCGGAGTTGTGGACGAGTTGAAGTTTATGGAAAGACGTGTGAGGGAGACCGAAGAGGAGCGAGTTACAGTAGTCCAGACGGGAGGTGACGAGACTGTGGACGAGGATGGAGGTGGAGTTGGGGGAGAGGGAGGGACGGAGCCGATTGATGTGGCGGAGGTGGAAGTAGGCAGTCCGAGTGGTATGGCTGATGTGTGATTTGAAAGAAAGAGTACTGTCAAGGACGACACCCAGACTCTTGACCTGAGGTAAGGGGGAAAGTGAGGAACTGTCGATGGGAAGGGAGAGACTGTCAACTTTGGATAGGGTGAATTTTGAACCTACTAGAAGAATTTCTGTTTTCTGACTGTTAAGTTGGAGAAAATTGGCGGTGAACCAGGATTTAATTTTGGATAGGCAGGTGATGAGGGAGGTGGGTGGGAGGGTGGAGTTTGGTGAGCTGGAGAGGTAGAGCTGGGTGTCGTCCACGTAGCAGTGATATTGAATGTTGAATTTATGGAAGATGGAACCAAGGGGGAGGAGGTAGGTGATGAACAGCAGGGGCCCCAGGACAGAGCCCTGGGGCACACCTGAACTGACTGGGGAGGGGTCGGATTTGAAGGATTTGAGCTGTATGAACTGTGTGTGGTCTGTGAGGTAGGAGTGGAACCAGCGGAGGGGAGTGTGGGTGATGCTGATGGAGGAGAGTCTACGGAGGAGGATGGGATGGGAGATGGTGTCAAAGGCTGCACTGAGGTCGAGGAGGATGAGGATGGAAAGTGAACCGGAGTCAGCTGCAGTGAGAAGGTCATTGGTGATTTTTAGCAGTGCGGTTTCGGTGCTGTGGCGGGGGCGAAAACCAGATTGGAAGGGGTCGTAGAGGGAGTTCTGGGTTAGGTGGGTGTGTAGTTGGTTGGTGACGACCTTTTCCAGTATTTTGGCTGTAAACGGTAGATTGGAGATGGGGCGGAGGTTGTTGAAGTTATTGGGATCAGAGCCAGGCTTTTTCAGGATAGGGGTGATGGCTGTTGTCTTGAGGGATGCGGGAACAGTTCCAGTGGTGAGTGAGGAGTGAATGATGGCAGATATGAGAGGAAGAACAGATGGGAGGCATGATTTGACCAGTGTGGTGGGAAGGGGATCCAGCTGACAGGTTGAGGGTTTGGATTTACGGATGAGATCGTAGATTTCAGAGTCGTCGGGGAGAAGAAAACTGGAGAAGTACTGATGGTGTGGCAGGGGAGTTGGTGGGTTCGGAGGGGGTCCAGGGGGGAGAGAGCCTGAGTGTAGTTGTTGGTGGATAGTAGAGATTTTTTCATTAAAAAACTGCATTAGGGTGTTGCAGGTGTCGGTTGAATACAAGTGGGGAGGGAGGGAGTCCGGTGGCTGGAGAGATTTGTTGAGGAGAGTGAATAGTGATCTGGTGTTTCCTTTGTTAGAGATGATCTTGGCGGAGTAGTGGTCTGTCTTTGCTTGAGAGATTGAGTGTTTTGACTGGAGTGAGGGAGTTGAGGATGTTATTTAAACAGGTGTTGTAATGGGATGTTATGTCATCAGGGGTAGCGGAACAGTCCGGGATCAAAGAGTGTCAATGTTTATGTTCTTAAGGTTGCGGAATGAAATGAGGCGTGGTGAATTAATTCTAGTGAGGCAGAGAGGAATACTGAAGGAGATGAGGAGGTGGTCACTTAAATGGAGATCATCAGCTGTGCAGTTGGATGGGATGAGGCCAGAGCAGCAGAGTAGATCCAGAGTGTGTCCTTTAGTGTGTGTCGGGAAGTTGATGAATTGATGGAGTCCAAAACTGTCAAGGCATGATGAGGAGTCTCTGGTGAGGGGCAGGTTGGGGTTGTCTATGTGTATATTGAAGTCCCCCAGTATTATTGTGTTTGGTGAGAGTGTGCATAGATGGGTGAGTAGAACAGAAAAGTCATTTAAGAAGTCAGAGTGGGGCTTGGGGGGGCGGTAGATGGTGGCAATGATGGTGGGAGTGGGCCCAGGGAGTGTAAGTGCCAGAAGTTCGTAGGAGGAGAAAAGAGGCAGGGACAGCGGTAGAACTTTCCACTTCTTGTGGTGGATGATGGCGATACCTCCACCACGGCCATGGCTGCAGGGGTGGGAGAGGTAGGTGAAGTCCGGGGGGGTGGAGTCGTTGAGTGATGAGAAGTCATTTGGTTGTTGCCATGTTTCAGTGATGCAGAGGAAGTCCAGCTTGCGGTCAGTGAGGAGATCGTGGATGATGTGTCCCTTGTTGGTGAGTGAGCGGATGTTGAGGAGTCCAAGGTTGACAGAGGTATTGTCATGTTTGGTGTGGAAGGGAGCCGGCATGGATGGGCTTGCTAAAACAGAGTGATTGACAGTCCGGGTGGTGTTTCTATCAGAGTGGTGTCTGTTGGTGATATGGACAGGAATAGGGAGGAGATGGATGCTACTGTAATTATTTGGGAGTGGGGAAAAGATGACGGGAAGACCTGTGGCCGAGGGAGTCGGTGACAGAATTTGCCAGCAGGGGGAGCTCAGGGGAGGACCTGTCAACAGTGGGTGCACCACAGAGGGGGAGGGGTGTGTGTGTGGGGGGGAAGTAAATAGTCAGTCACATGGGAAACAGTGTACAGTGTGCTGCAGGTTAGCCGCTAACATGCGGCTACCTGTGGTGTTCGGGTGGATACCATCCGATTTAAAAAGGGACGAACGGTTCCAAAAAAGATTAAAATTGTCCACGAAGGCAAAGCCATGGGCTTGGCAGGCAGATTGGAGCCAGGTGTGCAAGCTAAGCACTCTGCTGAAGCTCCCGCACCCATGACCAGAAGTGGGAATGGGACCGCTGATAAAAACAGACAGTTCACAGTTCTTCAGGAAGTTAAAAAGTTGGGTAAAATGGTCCTTCGTGAGCTCGGTCTGGTGGAGGGATGTGTCATTAGTACCGACATGGATTATGATTCTCTGGATGGAAGTTGGCAGAGATTTTAACAGAGTGGGGAGGAGTGTTAAAATGTCAAGGACCCTCGCACCAGGGAAACACCGCGTGATGGCGTTAAAAAAGCGGATGTTTCTCATGATGGAGTCGCCCACAATTAAAGTCATCGGAGGGAAAAGTGGACGTGGAGATTGCGTGACTGGAGAGGAATATGTCGGAGGAGGGGGGGAACTCACCAAGGAGGACATTGGAGACGAGACGGGAGGGACACGGGCCAGCCGCGGTGCAGGTGTGAAGCACGGCACTAAGCGCCGCCGGAGGGCCCCAGCGTGCGGATGGTCGGGCATGCGAGGCGGACAGGACGGGGACGGCGGAGAGCTGGAGGACCTGTGAGACAGCCGGGTGGACATCGGCTGGGATCCCGCGGGCAGTGGGGGGAGTCATGGAGGTCCAGGATGTTAAACGTGTTCTCCAGGTGGAGGTGGAAGAGGGGAGACTGAGGTGGGAGCCTTGTTTTCCTGGTGCGGGCGGTGATGCGGTACCAGTGCTCCTGCAGGTATGGAGTGGAGCTAGCCGGAGGCTCTGGTTTAGCCTTGGGTTGTGCTCCCAGCCTTGTTGAGGAGACGTCGGGGGAGAGGGATGGATGAGCAGGCGGAGGAGAGGTGGTCGCAGCAGCCGGGAGAGAGGTGTTGGGAGCGGTGGGGTCTGGATCCGATGAGCCGGTGGAGCCGGGATGTGGTGTTCTGAAGACGATGGTGTCCATGAGTTTCTTGGCTTCCTGGATCTGGTAGAGGGTGGAGATCCTTCGCTCAAGCTCCTGGATCTTTTCCGCCAGACAGGCACAGCTGGCACAGCCGGATGGAGAGGAGTGTGGAGCCATGGCTGAAACAGAGAGAACAACAGCCAGCAGACAGCCAACGACACCAGGCAGGATCTGATAGAGGACAGTCTGGATCGGGGATTGAACTGTGAGAAGGACACTCACACGCCAGGTCTCTGACCTGGAGCCCGCACCGGTGAGGTAGCAGATCAGACAACACGGGAGGAGACTTACCGGCGAGGGCCCCGGAAGAGGGCCCGCTGTTGGTCTCAGGTAAGTCTCTCTTTGCGGCGTTCCAGCCGTGGCCGATGTGACCGGGGGTGTTTATTTAATCCGTGTGGGTAATGATGGTCGATCGGTGTATTCGGATGGATGCCCTTGGTATCTGCAATCAGTCTGTTAGAGTAGCTGCAGTCAGTCTGTTAGAGTAGCTGCACTCCACAGGGCGCCGCCATCTTGGTCATGTTGCAGCATGTATACCCAGCATGTATACCCATACCTAACACTATACTAAAATCCAGAAGTTTACAAAATTCCCAAATTTTTCCAGATCCCATCTAAGCTAAGTACAGAATTTAGACGTTGATAAAAGCAGGTATTTTAGTACCATGTGCATCTATTACAGTTTGTAAGATACAGCATACTTACTGTGAGTTACACCTCACAGTTTCAACTGCACAGAGCTGTACACATGAGACCCAATTTGTAGCACTTGCACCTGCCACAACAGCCAGATTTACAGCCACATTTGGTGAGCTGTTCGCATGTCTTGGCTATCGGAGAGTTGGCTGTCCAGAAGACCTGCCATTCCTCATCAACCTTTTGCCATCCCCAGTCTGCATTGTCCTTTGCTTCTGGCTGACACTGGGTTGCCTGGGCCCACACACAACCAGCCTGATAGGCAGCACGCCTGGTGTGTTGGAGTAGAGCTACTCTGGTTGGTGGGATAGACCCATAGGGCCTCTGCTTTCTGGCAAACAAGTCAAGCCTGGCCTCATCCACAGTAGCAGCTGTGCTGGATCTGTCATACATGTGAATGACAAACTTCTCAAGCACCTCTGTGTCACAGTCCTCCACTGTGGGAGGGTAAATACCCAGTTTGGCGAATACAGGCAAGGATTCTGGACATATGTCCCATGTATGCCAAGCCATTTTTTTGCCTTTGTTGCGGAAGGCAGACACAGTGTCACATCCTGTAAAGGCATGGAAGAAGAGCATGCCTTTGACCTTCTCCTGGCCAACATGCTGAAATATGTCATGCACACTGATCCAGTGCAGAGTCTGACCTTGCCCAAATGCAAGCCACATATGCTGTAGGCCAGCCTCTTGGAGACCGCTGAATACACTTATTGCTAAGATCAGAACATCTGTGTCATTTGCCTTGATCATGATGGATTGGCTACCAGTTTCATGTTTGGCGCGCACAAAGATGCGGCTGTCCGCTTCCTCGTGAGAGCATTTATCCAGTCCGTCAAGACCAGTTGCATGAGTGCTGAGGACAGCAGGTCCCTTTGTGACGACATTTGTGCAACCTTGTCGGCAAGGGTGGAACAACTCTGTTTTGTCGTCATTGTGCCTCAGGAAGTTATGCCAGTTAGACAGCATGGTGTTCATATTTATTACCTTGTGTCTTCCCCCCTCGCCACGTTTGGACCTGGTCTCAGCTTTAAGGCTTGATGGGTTTTTCACATCAAAGACCAGATGTGTCATTGTGTACTTGCTGGAGTACATGTAGATCACAGGTAGGAAGTCGAGAACTGCATAGTCCTCAAAAGTCTTGGATCTTTTTGGTGGCAGGGCGTGGTCCAAAGCTGACCCATCTACAATGAGAACGTCTGCCTCAGGTTCCTTGTCAACTGGTGGGACATAATTCTCAAGGATAGGGGTCAGATGAGACTTCTGGCAAGTGTACAATTTTCCACCCTTGCTCAATGCAACAGGGAAGGACTGGTTCTCATGCTGAAAGAACTCCTGGAGGTCATGCTGAGTTACACAGCAGTGATATCACCAGTGTGCCCTGGTTGTGTGCCGATATTCACTCTATTACATCCGCAAACTTGTACTGTACAAACGTCTAAATTCTGTACTGCAATGGCCCCATTGGATGCATAGACCAAAAATATGTGCATGCCAAAAGTAAATGTCTCATAGTCACTAAGATCGGATTACTTCAAGGCAATGGCAGCCATCTTGGACACCATCTTGTTTTTCAAATTTAATGTTAATAGGCTCATGAAAATAATAGATAATGGAAATGATATTTTCATATAACCATATGCACGTAACAACAATCGGTGTTACAAATTTCTCTTCCAATTCTGTACAAGTATCTATATGCTGTATCTCAAGAACCGGTTTACAGAGATGTACTAGGTACCAAAATGTCTGCAAAACACAACTTTATATTCAACTTCAATATATATATGGGGCTTAAAATCAAGTCATTTTGAGTTATAAAGGAAAAACCACATTTTTGGGGCGGACATCTTGGATTTTGGGGCCGCCATCTTAGAATTTTGCGTGGCTAACGTTATTTTTGAAAAGAGTGGGGTTTGACGAGTATATGTACCAAATTTCATGCTTGTATAAAAAAGTGAACGATTCGGGCTACATTATGCATTTGTCTGCTCTACTATCAGGAAAATGAACTTCTGAACCAAATTTCATGACAATTAATCTCATTTCTCATGCTGTTTAACATAAAAACACAACCTTTAACGTCATAGTACTGAATGCTGGGAGTCATAAATTCACAGTTTTTCTCCTTTATGGAAGGACCACAGTGTTAGGTTGTGTATGACACTCAAATTTGTGAATAAATTAAGAAATCTTTAAACTACTGTATTTTAACTTATTTTTACAAATGGAATATTTATTGTATTTAAGTGATGACACATCCAGTAAAAGTTTTTGAATATTGACTGGTGAATTACCATGAGACTTTCAACTGAGTACGCTCCTGTCCTGACTTTACAAACGATTGATCTCAAGAAAACTAAACTGGGTTTTGTTCACAGGCATAAAAGAAGTTTTTTACTCTCATCACCTTTCTTATGGGTCGTTCCATGTCAATTCAACCAAGAATCGCCACTCACGTCACAGATTTTGATGAAATTTGGTGGAGTGATTGGCCTTCGGGAGAAACTGTCAGAGCTCAAATATTTTTGTTCAAAGCCATCTAATTAGTGAGATAGGGGCTAATGAATTTTTGGCTAACTAGCATGACATGCCAGTTCATAACATTTTTTCCCAAATTGGACCAGAAAAAAAATTATAAAAGACCAAAAACTTAAATTGTCTTCATATTCACACTTAAGAAAGACTATCATGTCCACTAGCATCCCTGCAAGTTTTAGGATGGGCATTTCATAACTTTTTAAGTAATCAGTCAAAATGCGTGGTACGTTAGGTCGAAAATCGCCATATTTGGCACATTATACAGTCCTGACCTCATCTGGAGTCAGCCCCACTTGCCTGCTTGTGTAAAATATTACTTCCTCATAGTGCAAAATGCTTTTTTTGAGTTTTTTCATTTGTATGTTATCCCATATTTATATGAAAAATGGCTAGAATAGCTTATTTTTGCTCAGTTTTCCATCGCATTTCATTTCTATTTGCACCTATTCCAGAATATGAATGATCTTAGCTTCATGGGAGAATCATTTGGGCATACCTGCATGTCCTGGATCCTAGGGTTGACAAATAACTTCTACCTATGCACCCTGAAATTTTGTTGCTGGTTTCCCTGTGAAGTATTCCAGGTTATTTATCCTGAGCCCTTTCAACGTTTCCTTTATACTTCAAAGGTACTCTTGGTCAAAAAGATAGAACTTGAAGAGAGCTTTAAAATGACACCTGAATCAGCTCTCTAGGTGCCATACTTCCAGAGATATGAACACTTTTGTAACACATGTCATGCTAGTTAGCCAAAAATTCATTAGCCCCTATCTCACTAATTAGATGGCTTTGAACAAAAATATTTGAGCTCTGACAGTTTCTCCTGAAGGCCAATCACTCCACCAAATTTCATCAAAATCTGTGACGTGAGTGGCGATTCTTGGTTGAATTGACATGGAATGACCCTTATGTAAGATCGAGTATTTTTATTTGATCTATATTCCAGCAGATCCATGAAAAAGAGGAGGAGGAGATGAACGAGAAGAATGACAACACCCACTGTCTGAACGAAGAGCCGCTCATCACAGCTGATCAGGTCTGTGTTCATCGTTAAACAGCAACGTTGACATCCTGTTTCTTGAACCTCATTGAAGAACTCTTTCAACTTTGCATTTTGAGCTTTGCTCATCAAGAACTTTTTCAGTTTTTGAAAGTATCATCATAATCACTTAATTCTCTCCAGCTGATCATTTTAATTGCATAATTTTTTATATTTGTCATATTTGCCCATACTCAACTTTTCAAGCTGTAGCTTCGTGATAGACACCATGCTGATAAGATTGTGTAGTCCCACTTTCAAAGCTTTTGGCAGGTAAAACAAGCACCAGTACAGTAGTTTTAAAGGATTTGGGAGCTTAGGGTAGAGTACTGTAGAGAAAATACTTGGTAATAAGCATGCTTAGTTTTGAGTCATTTAGTGAGCACATTGCATTGCTGAAGTGCTTGTCTGTTGTACGCTGCTGTAGCCTGTGTAAACACCAATCATGTTCAGATTTAGTGGCTCCACTCTCCAGACAAATGGATGGTGAATGCATGCGCACTTAGACCAGGGGTCGGCAACCCGCGGCTCTGGAATTTGATTTGATTTGATTTGATTTGATTTGATTTGATTTGATTTGAATAAACCATGTTAAATTTTTTTATCGCTCAAAATTTGCATCATAACTGCCGATTTGGGAAACCAAAAACCTGTGTGAAGATGAATGTGATGTCACACAGCCTGGATGTGGAGACGATGTGCTCTGAGATTCAGGAGCGAAAGTCACATTAAACAAGTAAATCTCACATTTTAATCAGCTATTATTTTGCAAATATATATCTTATATTGTTCAGTGAAATTGTGTTTTTTATTCAGCGCACACACTTGTTGCGCGATTATCCTCTCTACTCCTCCGAGTGTGGCCTGCATAGCAGGGCTCCAAGGGCGGAGCTTGCAGTTGTAAAGTAGGAAATCTCCCTGCGTCTGAGACTACCGTTTGGCTCTGCCAGAGATTCACAGTGATTTGAATGCAGAAATACTCAGAAATGCAATTTCACGCTAATATTACGTCCTGTATTATGTCCTGTAGCATCAGGAAAATGATATATGAACATGTAGACAAGAACAACATGATTTTCATTATAGTGGGTCTTCAAGATTATGTCAAACTGTTTAAAATATTTTTGTTTGCCTGCAGAAATAACATTTCTTTTTCTCTGCAGCAGTTCATTTATTTCACAAATGCAACTTGCTACAGTTTTTATATACTTTGTATAAAGGTAAAAAAAAAAACAATATATGCAATGTTATCTTCATTTTAGATGTTAAAGAGGTTTTGTGGCTCCCTGTGTTTTCTTTTCTGTGGGAAACTGGTCCAAATGGCTCTTTGAGTGTTTAAGGTTGCTGACCCCTGACTTAGACCTATCTCCTGATCTTTTCCCTGTCCATCAGCTCGGCTGTAACACATCCTTGGATCTCTCTCTTTCGCTCTTCAGGTCATTGAGGAGATTGTCGAGATGATGGAGAACTCTCCAGACCCTGGTGAGACTGAGGAAGAGGATGAGGAGGAGGGCAGCCGCTGCTCCTCCAGAACCAACTCCTCCCTGCTGGAGGAGATCAGGCAGCTGTCACTGGCCTCTAACAACAACTGCTCCTATGAAGGTAAACATGAAAAAATCCATATTTATTTTTCATTACTGCGATTTTTTGTTAACTGTTTTGAGATGTGAAAGTGAGGAAAGCCCTAATTTTAGAATTGCTCAAAAAAGTGGTCTGCATCTAAGTAAACTATCTTTTTACATCCTACCCACTGAGGGCGGCAGTAGCTCAGGAGGTAGTGCGGTCGTCCAATAACTGGAAGGTTGGCAGTTTGAGTCCCCTCAATGTCTTGTCTGTCTGTTGTGTCCTTGGGCAAAACACTTAACCCACCTTGCCCCCAGTGTGTGTCCTCCGCTGGTGTATGATTGTGTGGTGGTGGTGGTCAGAGAGGCTAGAGGCACAAACTGGCAGCCATGTTTCTATTAGTCTTCCCCAGGGCAGCTGTGACTACTACGGTAGTTTACCACCATCAGGGTGTGACTATGTGAGCGAATGAATTATGTATCCAACACAAAGCACTTAAAGGGTCCCTGATAAAGTGCTAAAAAAATCTGATGCATCATTATTATTATTACTCACTAAAATGTTTGCAGGACCAGAGTCACAGTGAAATCATTTTCTCACAAGATTTTAAGTTGAGATTAAAAACATTTTTGATGAGGACAACTCAGTAAAAAGGAGTGCTAACATTAAAAATTTAAGTCATTTGACACACAAAAGAAGTTGTCATAATGTGTCATGTTGTGAGATTAAAGTGGTGATGAAGTGGTAGTTTTGGTTCACGGTGAGCAGCCAGCTGTCTGGACCAAAATGAGGAACAGAATCTGGGTAAATTGTCTCTAATAAGATAAATCTTTGTTCATCCCATGGTGTGGAAATTTGCAATGTTTTGTCTCCTCAGCTTCACATTGGTTTAAGTATCCCCTTATCAAAAATAAGTACATTTCATAAAGTATACTGAAGTACATACCTCCCAAAGTATACTATGTACACTGATACAAATGTACTACCAGTGTATTTACAAGTAAACTAAATTTCTTGGAACTAAATTGGCACAATTTTAGTTCATAAAGGTACCCTTCAAGCATAGTTAAAAGTAAACATCTCAGTATACTACTATTTTACCAGTAATAAATCTGTAGTCCCCCATTTAGTTTTTAAAAGTACACTCTGAAACATACCTTTTTTTTTTGGTGGGGCCATTTTTGCCTTTGATGGATATGACAGAGCGGAAATGTGGAATATAAAGCGCAGTGTTCTTCGCTCTCAGACTGCAAGGACAGCTCAGCTTCTCCTAAAATGTAAATTAAAAAAAAAAAAAAGGTGGTGAAATATGTACTGCTGTGTACGTTTCATTTACTAAATATGTGCTAGAACATGTTTATCTTTTGTTTAAAATCAGCTACTTATCACAGTTAACCAACACAACTTCGTTGTCATTCATCCCTGCTTTACACAGTCTGACGCTGAGCATCTACTGACTTCAATGGGAAGTGTATAGTGGGTTGTTCCACTGCACGAAACTTCGGTCATTGGATAAATGTTGCGTCCCATCGGACGCTCAGCATCTCTGGGTGTCTATGGGCCAATGGGCTGGCCTGGACGCCCGGCCTCTGTGTGATGATTGGATGGTCTGTCTGATTCTTTTTGATTGACAGCAAAATGAGCGAATCTTAAAGTATAAACATCCACGGAAACATTTTCCAAGTTTTTCATTTCATTGTCCTGCACTGATCCAGAGACTTTACCAATCCCCAGTGACTTTGGCTGTGTCTCATTTCAGAGGCTGTGTTTCATTTCAGAGACCGCACCGTCGAACGGCGCATTTCAAGTGTGCGTGATGTCATCATGTGGCGCGAACGGTGTCCCATTTGGCTCGTACTTCTGAGCGCTTCAAATGCAGCTTCAAAACCACACTACCCCCGCCCCTTTTTCAAGCGTGCATGTATGCACGCTTTCATGGCCTTGGTATCCCAGAATTCTTTGTGTGCCGCTGCACAGTTGCACATTTCGGGTGAGAGCCCGGACTCGCTTGGAGATGCAGTGCGTCTTCAAAGAAAATAAAATAAATCCAAAAACAGCAGACAGTCAGCTCAGGCTGTAAGAGCGCATGATCTCTTAACTCACTAAAATCTGTAAATCAAACATTATACTCTTTAAAGACGAACTGATCCGCTCTGCTACAACAATCAAAAACATTAGAAATAAGAAAGCTGACAAAACCACATCTGGATATCAGGGACACATCGAGAAAGTTGTAAATTTAGGAGAATAAAGTCATAAATAAAGTAAATAAAGTCAAAAAGCTACTTTTGTGGAGGGGGAAAGGACTGAACCGGTCATCTGCAGGGTTATCTGTGGATGCATCAGTGGGCCACTGGCGGTAACCTACACCTGCAGAGACACCAACACCTTATTATGGCATATGGATTCATATCATAAACTAAAGCTCAATGTCATTGACGACTATTTACGGCTGCATGAAGGATTTATCCACAGCATATCCATTTCTGCCTCCACAAAAGCAGTGATTTACTCCAAGTCCACCTGTTTTTTTTTCCTGTGGAAAAGACGTATTTCTCATATATTATTTTTAAAGTCCTTATACTTATGACAATGTAATGCTGATGTGCCAAAGGATGAAGTATCTCCTTGTTCATGAAACCTATACTGAAGCACAGTTCCTTCAAATGCTCCATGGCCCTAATTTTAACAATTCTCCTTTGAAATAACAGGTAACATTACGACTTTATTCTCAAAAATTAATGACTTTATTTTCGTAAATTAATTACTTTATCCTCATAAATGAATGACTTTATTCTCGTCAATAAACGACTTTTATCTAGAAATCTTTTTAAAAAATTCTCAATATGGCCCTCATACTCCTTCATAAAAAACATGAAATCACTGGATGAATTTTATGGAAATGATCTGTGCTTGTATGTATCTACTGTTTTGTGTCTTTGCAAGGTCGCACAATTAAATAATAACTGCTGCGCTCAGCAGCTTTTCTCCATGTCAGACGTGACGTGAGCCTGAGGGCGGGGACATCAAACTTCCTCAAACTCAACTCCGATAAAACAGAACTCCTCTTGGTCGGTACTAAGTCCACTCTCTCCAAAACTGACAGTTTCTCCCTCACCATAGACAACTCCACACTGTCCCCTTCCCCTCAGGTTAAGAGTCTGGGTGTCATCCTCGACAGCTCACTATCTTTCCACTCCCACATCAGTAACATCACCTGGTCTGCATACTTCCACCTACGAAACATCAACCGACTCCGCCCATCACTCACTCCTCACACCACAGCTTTCCTAGTCCACAGTCTTGTCACCTCCCGTATTGATTATTGCAACTCACTTCTCCTCAGTGCCCCTCACAAATCCCTCCATAAACTTCAACTTGTCCAAAACTCTGCAGCCCGTATCATCACCAGAACCCCCTCCTTTCACCACATCACCCCTGTCCTTCAGCAGCTTCACTGGCTTCCTATCCGGTCCAGAATCCACTATAAAATCATACTGTACACTTTCAAGGCCATTCATAACCTTGCCCCCCCTTACCTCTCTGATCTCCTCCACATCGCCACCCCCTCACGCTCCCTCAGATCCTCCTCCTCCCTCCACCTTTCTGTCCCCTCTCCCCGGCTCAGCACCATGGGGAGCAGGGCTTTCAGTCGCTCTGCCCCCAAACTCTGGAACTCTCTCCCCCCGGATCTCAGAAACATGGACTCACTACCCCACTTCAAATCAAAACTCAAAACACATCTGATCTAAATTGCATATTCCCTTTAACTGTCCATCTTCATACCTGTATGTTGTTTTTATTTATTTTAACTGTGTTTTAACTGTGTTCTTAACGCCCTGTACAGTGTCCTTGGGTGTCCAGAAAGGCGCTTTTAAATAAAATGTATTATTATATTATTATTATCATATTATTTGGCGACTCAACCAGGAAGTCCTCCGAAGGGTAGACTGTCCCAATTCACAAAAACCGGACCATCTCACCCAGGATCCTCAAGTCCACATAACAGCAGTGCGCTCAGCTAAGCGCGCTTGAGCACGCTCAGCCGTATGCAGTCTCTGAAATGAGACACAGCCTTTGTCTTTGTTAAAAATGACGAGTGTTATATTTGGCGACTCTTACCCCACCATCAGCAGCAGCTGCGGAGCTTCTCCCCCCCGTCATGATCACTCACACTCACAGGGGTCACACTTCACAGTAGCCTCACGCAGCAGCCCCAGCCGCTAGCAAGCTGCACATCATGGCAGATATGATGAATGTTATCAACCGGATTTTGGCAAAGCCATTTTATAGTCTTCCTTACGAAGAAAAAATTATAGCTGAACAGCAGGGCAGGTCATCTCCTAAGATAGATATAGTGCAAAAGGTGGGGAATAGTAACAGGTATTTTCAGTTGTCCTGGTATGACTAGGTTGAGCTGGCTGACTGGAAGGGCTGTCAGTGTAGAATTTACAGTTGTGATCAAATTTATTCAACCCCCACTGAAATGAAGTGTTTTGGCCAGTTTGACATTGATTTTGATGATTTCAGTCATCTTATTTACAATTATATCAAAGAGGCACTTATAAATTAGACAAATATAACATAACATTTATGATGAAATAACCACAAATGTCTTTTCTGTGCTCACATCATTATCAGTTTTATTCAACCCCCTAGTGACATTATTTTTTAGTACTTAGTACAACCTCCTTTTCAAGTTATGACATCTTTCAAGCGTGAAACATAGCTTGACACAAGTGTCTTGCAGTGACCTATGGGTATCTTAGCCCATTCTTCATGGGCAAAAGCCTCCAGTTCAGTCACATTCTTAGGCTTGCGCGCTGCAACTGCCTTCTTTAGGTCCCACCAGAGATTCTCAATTGGATTTAAGTCTGGTGACTGCGATGGCCACTCTAGAATGTTCCAGCCTTTCATCTTCAACCATGCTCTAGTGGACTTTGATGTGTGCTTCGGATCATTGTCCTCTTGGAAGGTCCAACGTCTCCCAAGCCGCAGGTTTGTGACTGACTCCATCACATTTTCCTCCAAGATCTCCTGGTACTGAAGGGAATTCATGGTACCCTGCACACATTGAAGCTTCCCTGTATCATTAGAAGCAAAACAGCCCCAAAGCATAATTGACCCCCCGCCATGCTTCACAGTAGGCAAGGTGTTCTTTTGTTCATAAGCCTGGTTCTTCCTCCTCCAAACATAGCGCTGGTCCATTGGCCCAAACAGTTCTAATTTAGTTTCATCTGACCACAGTACACTGTCCCAAAACTTTTGTGGCTTGTCCACATGACTTTTGGCATACTGCAGTCGACTTTTCTTGTTCTTTGGAGTCAGCAAGGGGGTGCGCCTAGGAGTTCTGGCATGGAGTTCTTCGTTATGCAGTGCGCGCCTTATTGTCTGAGCTGAAACTTTGGTGCCCACATCTGACAGGTCTTTGTTCAGTTCCTTAGCAGTCACGCGGGGATTTTTCTCCACCTTACGCTTCAGGTAGCGCACAGCAGTCGCGGTCAGGATCTTCTTTCTGCCACAACCAGGTAGCGTTTCCACTGTGCCCTTTAACTTGAACTTGCGAATGATACTTCCAATAGTGTCTCTTGGAATATTTAACAACTTCGCAATCTTCTTATATCCATTGCCATTCTTGTGAAGAGAAATAACCTCTTCTCTGGTCTTCTGGGACCATTCTCTTGCCTTCACCATGCTTGTAAACACACCAGTAGATGTCTAGAAGGAGCTGAGTATCACAGTCCTTTTAAATCTGCCTAATTGGTGCTTATTATGCTTGATTGCTGCTCGTTGACATCCACAGGTGTTTTTAATACCTGATTGAAAACACTGGAATGAACCTCTGTTCTTAAGAGTGGTAGTTTTAAAGGGGTTGAATAATTGTGTCAATGAAGAAATCACAAAAAGCCCATTTAATACTTTATGACAAAAACAATTGATGCTATTTTAGTTGCATTTAGTTCTTTAACAAGTCCTTGTAAGATTTCATTATGAACACAATTACAAATGTGCACTGAATTCCATAAAACCCTTCACAGCATCGGGGGTTGAATAAATTTGATCACAACTGTATATGTACAGTTATGCATGGCCTTTCAAACTGCGTTACAGTACATGTGTCCAATTGGACTTTGCACTTGTTCTTACCAATCTTGTTTCCTCTGGTATCTATCTTTGCTTGTGTTGTTCTCGAATGTTTGTCGCTTTGGATAAACATGTCTGCTTAATGACATTTTAACATTGTAATTGTAACACTGACAGCCACCATGCTTTTCTTAACACTATAAGCAAAAAACTCAATTTTCAAACTACATTCACCAAACCTCTGACTCTTCCTGCAAAACCAAAAAATATTTTCAGATCATACTCCAAGTCAATCAAAATTAAAAACATTACTGAGCAGTTATTACACACTACATAGAACATGGAAAACACAATGCTCAGGACGTGAACCTGTAGAATTTATTGTCACTGTAGGTTAAATGAACTTTGCAAGAAAAAAAGAACCCTCTGTGAATTTGGCATCTGCATACAGTAAAGATAAAGTAAAAACAAATATAAATGAGAAGCACATTATTAAACTCAAGTGCTTACAACATCTACTATCATTCAGCCACAGCATTAAGTCTTTGTGGGTCAGGTCTCAGGACTTCATCCAAATTAAAGGCCACATTCTCCTTGACCAGGTAACAGGAAAAAAACCTCTAAACTGGTATTGGTTTCTTCACACCATTAGCCACAAGTGTGATCAATTTTGTGTTGTTGGGTTGAGCTGTGGCACCTGTGCTTCAGATGTGATCAACTTTTGTTACCTGTGCTTACCATTACACAACACAAGTGCATCACAGTGCACAAAGTGTTTTAGTGAGTGAGAATATGTTTGCAAGTTTTGTCCAACCAGGAGAAAAGTGCTTATAGTTGAGCTTAAAGAGTGACTGATTCAATAAGTTGGTTCAGGCCACTGAGCATTTGGGTCAGACAATAGGGTTTAGAGTTTTAGCAATTGAGAAATACTGTATTTCAATTGAAGTATATATTTGTATACTTGGCTTGCACTTGAAGTATTCAATGACCACGTATACTTAAACCTAAGGCACAAATACATACTTGAGTATATCTTGATTAAAAGTTTATGTACAAGTATAGCTTAAATATATTTAGACTTCTAGTAAAATTCTTAGTACAAAATGTTACCTATTTGGTATGCTATCTTAGTATTTCTCAATTGCTAAGACACATTTCTTGACATGAACATGCTCTAATCTTTGGGATAGTGAGGAAGAAGTTGGTTGGAAAGTTGACCTACTTGAAGTTGTTTTTGGGAGCTAGTTATTGTCACGTGCTGATTCGACTGAGCACTTGAGGAGTTTCACTCTTGCTACAAACAATAGGAGAGGCAGCTGACATGGGTCCCACCCTCTATTGATTGCTATAGTGAGAACAGCCGGGGCAGAGTTTCCCTTGGGCGGTAGAAGCTGGTGCAACTAATCTGATTGAACATAGCTGTGGCACTTCTGGCTATTTAAACACACAGGCTGTGCTGAAGCGTCAGCAAAAGCATCAGCCATTACGGAAGCCCAATTTTGTAAACACCACATTGAGTAAAGACCTGTGAATCTACCTGTGCGAGTCCACCGAGCAATGCCACTGACTGACCTACAGTGTTGCCCCTAAAAACGCATCATGTGCTATGATCATATTAAAGTCTTATCTGGGAACAGAAAAAAAGTGCTACAACAGCAGAAAACGCAACCTACACAATCTGTCCTCTCTACAGTTTTCTTCCTCTCAGCAACCATGGGTCTCTGTTGGCCTCTGGAACTGCCAGTCTGCAGTTAACAAAGCAGAATTAATTAATCCTCTGACTAAACTGTCTGACATTCAGGTCCTAGCCCTGACAGAAACCTGGCTCCGTCCAGAAAACAATGTAACACCAACTGCCCTATCAGTAGATGCAGTCTTCTCACATACACCTCACTCTTCTGGCCAAGAAGGTGGTACGTGCATTGTCCTCTCTGATAACTGAAACTTCAGCCAGTTTAAAGCTGTGAGCAATAACACATCCTTTGAATACCATGCAATAAAGGTCACTGCACTTATTTAGGCTTACGTGGTTGTTATGTACCACCCACCAGGACTTGGACAGCTTTGTTGATGAATTGGGCATGTTACTCTCAGACATGCCCAATGATGGCACACCCCTGGTAGTTATGGGAGACAATAACATCTACATGGATAAAGCCCAGGCAACTGGTTTTATCTCTGTACTGTCCTCCTTTGGCCTAAAACAGATTCCCACTCTTCCCACGCACAATGCTGGCAATAAACTTGACCTGATTCTGATTCATAATTGCTCCACAGCAAATCTGAGTGTGACTCCTCTTCACCTCTCTGACCACTACTTTATTTTTCATTTGTCTTGCTTGAATAACATCAACCTACTACTCGGTTCATATCTAAACATTCAGTCACTTGACCCAGCTAAGCTGTTTGAAGAGGTCTCATGTAATGAGTCCTTCATACTCTCTGCTAATGGAGCTGCAGACACAGGCTGTTTGAGATTGGCTTAATGCATACTCCTGCCAACCGCAGTATGCAGTAGATACTGCATTGTTGATGCATAGATTGTTGTCACATGTACTACACAGCCAGTACTTGCCAGAAATTCCTGCAGCTCCTTCAGTGTTGCTGTCGGCCTTTTAGTAGCCTCCCTGGCTAGTTTTCTTCTTGTCTTATCATCAATTTTGGACAGACGTCCTGTTCTTGGTAATGTCATCGTTGTGCCATATTTTCTCCACTTGATGACGACGGTCTTTACTGTGTTCCATGGTATATTTAATTCCTTGGAAATTCTTTTGTAGCCCTCAACTGACTGATATCTTTGAATAATGAGATCCCTCTGATGCTTTGAAAGCGCTCTGTGGACCATGGCTTGTGCTGGAAGGTGTGGCTACAAAAATATCAGGAAAAGCCTACTAGAACAGCTGAACTTTATTTGGGGTTGATCAGAGGCACTTTAATTGGTGACCTTGCTTCTCTGCTGTGCAGACGTCTCTCTGCTTGCTCCTGCTGCTTGAGCTTTAATCATTTCTTAATGACTTTTTAATCATTTGACTAGTCTTGGTTTTGATTTTACTCTTCTCTTTCAAGTGAACCAAGATTTTTAAAATCATTTTTGTGCTTTTTACTGTACTTTTTACTTTACCGAGTGACTGGATAATACAGCTAACCAGCACCAAGATGCCCCACTTCAGCACGGATGATTACCACAAACTGCTTCAGAAAATTGCAGTGCTAGAGACCAAAATCAACCGATTAGAAGCAAATGTGGATAGAAACGGACGTTGCGGGAATGAAACAACATCTTGTGACCAGAACCATAACACACAGCTGATCACTATCAACCAAGAAGACTACGGATCCTCCAATGCCTCTTCTTCAGATTCCCTCGGAGCTAAACCCAAATCATCTCACTGGAATATGGGAGGACAAGTAACAAGCAGAGCCCAGCGCCCTGAGATCTGTGATGAGACTGGCTGGCCTAAACTATCTTCAACACCTGTCCAGTGTAAGAAGCAGCCGTGGATAGCTGCCAAGGCAGGCCCTAAAATCAAAAACAATCTCCCCCAGCAGCAGCCATCCCTCCCACTGTACAACAGATTTGCTCCACTGTTACGGAATCCTGGATCCTCACCTCCGCATAGCAGGGTAAGATCCGAGAGAAAATCAAAAAACGGGGAACCTCAAACATTGATTGTGGGTGATTCTGCTATAAAAGACATACAAAACATGAGCAAAAATAGCAAAGTGCTCTGCTTCCCCAAGGATATGGTCTGTGACATAACAGGCAAAATTCAGGATATAGTGGCCTCATATCCCTCTCTGACAGCTATTGTGATTCACTGTGGAGCTACTGACATTGTAACAGAACAATCTGAAAAACTAAAACATGATTTCAGTGAACTATTAAAAACAGTCAGCTCCCTGAATGCTCAGGCATTCATCAGTGGCCCCCTTCCACCAATCAAAAGAGGAGATATGAGATTTAGCAGACTGTTTGCCCTGAATCAATGGCTATCTACTGCCTGTACCAAAGTCAACTTTATTGATAACTTAAGGCTGTTCTGGGACCGCAGGCATTACTTCAGAGCAGACGGACTCTCTCTAAACAAAGCTGGAGTGAAACTATTCACCTCCAACCTGTATCACTCCCCGCGTCACCCATCTGTCAAGGACAAGAGACAAGAGGCAAAAAGACATGAGATAAAACACCACGGCCTTGACAGAGAGACGCCTCGGGCCCCCCCGCGCACAAAAAGCTTTGGTTCAAGCCAGAAGGAGAAGTCTGTACTTCTTCTACCACCGCTCACCTTAGAGGACCCACCCTGCTCAAGCAAGTAGGAGGAATCTCTACTTCCTGTACTTCCTCTACTTCCCCCTCCTCCTCCTTCCTGGATTTTCCAGCTGAACTGAGAGAACTGGAGAATGCTGGTGTGAGACTTAGCGGCACGCCTCTCCACCACTCCGGCCACAGGACCCCCCCCCCCCCCAAATCCCCCCAAATCCCCCCAAATCCCCCAAACAGCAACGTGCCCCTCCTCCTCCCCCACGACAAGGAGTACTGCAGCATCCTCTCCCTCAGCACAGGACTAACAGTAAGGAGCACCTCGTTCTCAATAAGCTCTTGCTGATATGTTTTGGGTAACTAGGCAAGGATAACTACAGTTACAGACATACTAATCTGCCTAGAAACAGAAGGTACCCAACTAAGAATTTATCAAACTCCTCTCCCAGCTCTCTCACGGCTCTCGGTCAATGAGCTTGTAGAAGACCTTTGCTCTAGAATCACAAATGTGATGGATGCCATTGCGCCCACCAAGGTGAAAATAGTCTCTGGCAAGAAAAGATCTCCATGGAGGAATGCCGCGCTGGTCAGAGCTGAAAAAAGAGTGTGTCGGAAAGCCGAACGCAGATGGCGAAAGACAAGCCTTCAGGTTCACTATCAGATCTATAAAGAGAGACTTTGTATCTTTAACCTAGAACTAAGAAATGCTAGGCGATCCTTTTTCTCAGACATCATCACCAAAAACAAAAATAATGACGCGCCCTATTTACCACAGTCGACAGGCTAACAAACCCTCCAGTATCAGAAGCCTCTGAATTTCTGTCCGTCAAGGCTTGTAATGAATTTGCCTCCTTCTTCAATAACAAAATCCAGAAAATTAGACAAACAGTCAGTAGCTCAATATCCGGTACAGGATATGTGTTGTCCATGTGTACTAACCCCAGTAGCATGACACAATTCAACCCGATCAACATTAAAACCCTGGAGGACATCATACTAAATCTGAACTCCTCCACCTGCTGCCTTGATATTCTGCCAACAGGTTTCTTTAAAACAGTTTCTAATTGCATGGCCTCAGATCTTTTACAGATTGTCAACATGTCACTTCTGTCAGGTGTCTTTCCACAGGCCCTGAAAACTGCTGTCATAAAGCCTCTCCTAAAAAAAAGCAACCTAGACAACTCAGTAATGAACAATTATAGGCCTATATCGAACCTCCCGTTTTTAAGCAAAATCATTGAAAAAGCAGCCTTCCAACAGCTTCACAACTTCTTAGTCCTAAACAACTGTTTTGACGTTTTCCAGTCAGGGTTTCGACCGCATGACAGCACTGAGACTGCTCTTATCAAAGTCTTTAACGACATCCACTTAAACTCAGACAATGGCACCTGATTAAAGGGTGTGCACACTTATGCAACCACATGATCTCAGTTGTTTATTTTTACTTCACTTCCCAATACATATATATATATATATATATATATATATATATATATATATATACATACATATATATATATGTATATATATATATATATATATATATATATATATATATATATATATATATATATACAGTTGTGATCAAATTCATTCAACCCCCACTGAAATGAAGTGTTTTGGCCAGTTTGACATTGATTTTGATGATTTAAGTCATCTTATTTACAATTATATCAAAGAGGCACTTATAAATTAGACAAATATAACATAACATTTGTGATGAAATAACCACAAATGTCTTTTCTGTGCTCACATCATTATCAGTTTTATTCAACCCCCTAGTGACATTATTTTTTAGTACTTAGTACAACCTCCTTTTCAAGTTATGACATCTTTCAAGCGTGAAACATAGCTTGACACAAGTGTCTTGCAGTGACCTATGGGTATCTTAGCCCATTCTTCATGGGCAAAAGCCTCCAGTTCAGTCACATTCTTAGGCTTGCGCGCTGCAACTGCCTTCTTTAGGTCCCACCAGAGATTCTCAATTGGATTTAAGTCTGGTGACTGCGATGGCCACTCTAGAATGTTCCAGCCTTTCATCTTCAACCATGCTCTAGTGGACTTTGATGTGTGCTTCGGATCATTGTCCTCTTGGAAGGTCCAACGTCTCCCAAGCCGCAGGTTTGTGACTGACTCCATCACATTTTCCTCCAAGATCTCCTGGTACTGAAGGGAATTCATGGTACCCTGCACACATTGAAGCTTCCCTGTATCATTAGAAGCAAAACAGCCCCAAAGCATAATTGACCCCCCGCCATGCTTCACAGTAGGCAAGGTGTTCTTTTGTTCATAAGCCTGGTTCTTCCTCCTCCAAACATAGCGCTGGTCCATTGGCCCAAACAGTTCTAATTTAGTTTCATCTGACCACAGTACACTGTCCCAAAACTTTTGTGGCTTGTCCACATGACTTTTGGCATACTGCAGTCGACTTTTCTTGTTCTTTGGAGTCAGCAAGGGGGTGCGCCTAGGAGTTCTGGCATGGAGTTCTTCGTTATGCAGTGCGCGCCTTATTGTCTGAGCTGAAACTTTGGTGCCCACATCTGACAGGTCTTTGTTCAGTTCCTTAGCAGTCACGCGGGGATTTTTCTCCACCTTACGCTTCAGGTAGCGCACAGCAGTCGCGGTCAGGATCTTCTTTCTGCCACAACCAGGTAGCGTTTCCACTGTGCCCTTTAACTTGAACTTGCGAATGATACTTCCAATAGTGTCTCTTGGAATATTTAACAACTTCGCAATCTTCTTATATCCATTGCCATTCTTGTGAAGAGAAATAACCTCTTCTCTGGTCTTCTGGGACCATTCTCTTGCCTTCACCATGCTTGTAAACACACCAGTAGATGTCTAGAAGGAGCTGAGTATCACAGTCCTTTTAAATCTGCCTAATTGGTGCTTATTATGCTTGATTGCTGCTCGTTGACATCCACAGGTGTTTTTAATACCTGATTGAAAACACTGGAATGAACCTCTGTTCTTAAGAGTGGTAGTTTTAAAGGGGTTGAATAATTGTGTCAATGAAGAAATCACAAAAAGCCCATTTAATACTTTATGACAAAAACAATTGATGCTATTTTAGTTGCATTTAGTTCTTTAACAAGTCCTTGTAAGATTTCATTATGAACACAATTACAAATGTGCACTGAATTCCATAAAACCCTTCACAGCATCGGGGGTTGAATAAATTTGATCACAACTGTATATGTACAGTTATGCATGGCCTTTCAAACTGCGTTACAGTACATGTGTCCAATTGGACTTTGCACTTGTTCTTACCAATCTTGTTTCCTCTGGTATCTATCTTTGCTTGTGTTGTTCTCGAATGTTTGTCGCTTTGGATAAACATGTCTGCTTAATGACATTTTAACATTGTAATTGTAACACTGACAGCCACCATGCTTTTCTTAACACTATAAGCAAAAAACTCAATTTTCAAACTACATTCACCAAACCTCTGACTCTTCCTGCAAAACCAAAAAATATTTTCAGATCATACTCCAAGTCAATCAAAATTAAAAACATTACTGAGCAGTTATTACACACTACATAGAACATGGAAAACACAATGCTCAGGACGTGAACCTGTAGAATTTATTGTCACTGTAGGTTAAATGAACTTTGCAAGAAAAAAAGAACCCTCTGTGAATTTGGCATCTGCATACAGTAAAGATAAAGTAAAAACAAATATAAATGAGAAGCACATTATTAAACTCAAGTGCTTACAACATCTACTATCATTCAGCCACAGCATTAAGTCTTTGTGGGTCAGGTCTCAGGACTTCATCCAAATTAAAGGCCACATTCTCCTTGACCAGGTAACAGGAAAAAAACCTCTAAACTGGTATTGGTTTCTTCACACCATTAGCCACAAGTGTGATCAATTTTGTGTTGTTGGGTTGAGCTGTGGCACCTGTGCTTCAGATGTGATCAACTTTTGTTACCTGTGCTTACCATTACACAACACAAGTGCATCACAGTGCACAAAGTGTTTTAGTGAGTGAGAATATGTTTGCAAGTTTTGTCCAACCAGGAGAAAAGTGCTTATAGTTGAGCTTAAAGAGTGACTGATTCAATAAGTTGGTTCAGGCCACTGAGCATTTGGGTCAGACAATAGGGTTTAGAGTTTTAGCAATTGAGAAATACTGTATTTCAATTGAAGTATATATTTGTATACTTGGCTTGCACTTGAAGTATTCAATGACCACGTATACTTAAACCTAAGGCACAAATACATACTTGAGTATATCTTGATTAAAAGTTTATGTACAAGTATAGCTTAAATATATTTAGACTTCTAGTAAAATTCTTAGTACAAGCCAAGTATTAACTTTATTAAGTATATCTCTGAAAAGTGCATTAAAAAGTAAACTGAAGGCATACTTAATTTAAATACAGTATACTTGAAGTACACTCAAACATACTTCTTTGTTGTAAGGGTCAGGTCCGTGAAAAAGACTGAGCAGAAAGCTGACTTTTTACGATTTTACTCTAATGAGAAAGTACCAAATTTATTTGATGTGATGCTAATACTTCATCATACATTTCAGACTGATTTCAGAGTTTATAAGTTTAAAACAGACTTGTTATAAAATTCCACTGGCCTATTTTACAGTTTGGCAATGCAACACAAAACCATGCCATCAACAATAAAATTATCACTGAAGTGATCTTTAAAAGTGTAGTTTTTTTAAATTTAAATTAGCCTTGTGGAACATCTTTGATTTCACTGTAATGGCATTGATCATTCCTTGTTTACTCATAACTGTCTGTGACACAGGTAGTCCTGGAATATTAACTGGACTTAAATGCTTGGGAGGGATGTCAAATATCAAATATCAAAAACGCAACACAAAAAACCCAAAACTACAATGTTATCCATCAACCATAATAACCTATACGAACCCAGGCGATGCAAGAACCTAACTACATTAAATGAACTGAGACCACACAGACAGAAGAAATAAAATGACTGAAGGAAAGTAGCAATGGAATAAAATAAATACAGCAGTGACTAACTTGGATTCAAGTTGGACTCACTGGAGGATGTGGTAGAGATATCTACACTGAGGAAGGTGAAGGCTATTACCCACTTCATAACACCTTGATGGACCAAAGAGCCAATGGTGGTGGACGGCTCCTCTCTCTTCGTTGCAGGACAGAAAGGTTCAGAAGATCTTTTGTAACCACAGCCATCAGACTTTGCAATTTGTCCAAAATAGTTGATAACTTTTTTAAACATAAGTGAGACTAAAGACTATTGAATTTCCCTTTGGGGATAAAATAAAGTTATTCTTATTCTTAAAAGCAACAGCATGAAATGAAAGCAGCAAAGGGCAATCAAAAGCAGGAATAATAATAAAACATTCAAAAATAAAAGTGGTAAAACAAGTTTCAATTGAATAAATTAAAAAATATAAAATTTCAAATATCTTTGATTATATCACCTTTGTGCTTTTTCCATTAAAGGTCTTTTAAACCAGGAGGTCTCCAGGGATCCAAGGCTGTGGGTTGGCTAGTATGGAGTCAGAACCTCAGAAGTGTAGCTTAGAGCCAGAATAATATTTATTTGTTTCATTGATTTCATTCATTTACAGTTTTTTCTTTACAGTGCCTTTGGCTAAGCTTGAAATTGACATGTATCTTGTAGACTTGCTTGTATGGCAGTGAAAAAGCAAACTGAAGGAGTTGGTTAGCTTGCCATTAGGTGATCAGTCTTTCTTATGGCTTTATCCTCTGGGTTTCAATTAATATTTCTCCTTGAAGCATGTCAGTACACATCAATAAAATAGGTTACAAAAGGTGAGACCACTCTTAAATGTGTCCTTATCTTAACTGCACATAAAAAAAAGTATCATTAACCTAGTTTGTAGAATGTCCAAGGATGGTCATGATGCATGCTTGGGAAACATGGTCAGAGACATACTCAGCAGGAACTGTGATAAATCTAATGTAAGTGTCAAATGTGAAGAACTGAGACTTATGCATCCACTGTAATGTTCACTCAATGGCCTCAACATATCAGGTTTCTATTAAGTGATCCAGATAGCCTAATAAGTCATCTTAGGTTCATATTTGAGAGTTCAAGATGACAAGGAGTTCTCGACCATACAGCGGCCTGCTGCTAAGCATATTGTAGATCCATGTGGTTCCTCCATCTGAGTCACAGTAACTTGTCCTGATCTCTGTGGGAAAATAAGGTGGACTATGCAAAGGTCAAAATTTCTGGTGTGTACTTTCTTTGGCTGCTCAAAGATTTATGTAAGTGAGAGGCAACAATTTTGTGAGTGTCTAATGGGTAATTGTTGGTGTGTAAAATAAGACAATGTGATATTTAAGTTTAGCCCTGTATACTCCTGCTTTTTCGTATCTCTAACAGTTACTTCAACTGAACAAAATATTGAGGGAAAAATAGATATTGTTAAACTACACACATCAAAGACAAACAGTATGTGACAGAAATGCTCTCCTCTCTCTTTGAACCACAAGCAGCTCAGAGTTTGGACCTGTTTATGATATGTGGTCCAAAACAGTCCACTCATGTCTACATAACCCCAGTCAAGTACTGATTTAATATTCAGTCTAATCTTACCAGTTAAAATCTTTGGGGTTCAGAACTGTGCATTCATCTTGTTCTCACCCTTCCTCTGTCTCATAGGTCTGAGTCTAATGCCAAGCTCAGCGCTGGTGGAGCTGCTGCACCGGGTGGAGGCAGCCATCCGTGAGTTCTCAGAGGAGCTGGTCAACCAGCTGGCCCGGCGTGAAGAGCTTGAGTTTGAGAAGGAGATGAAGAACACGTTCATTACAGCCCTAATGGAGGTGCAGAACAGGCAGAGAGAGCAGCGAGACAGCAGCAAACGCCGGCGCCGTGACAAAGCTCTGAGTCTGCAGGGAGGAGGGATGATGCCTGTGAACACAGAAACTGCCGGACCCACAGAGAAGACAGGAGGCATGCCTGTCAAGGTGAAGGGGGGGGGGGGGGGGTTCTTACTGTTTACATCATGTGAATGAGTGTGTGCTTAAGACAGGACAATCAGACATACCTGTACTCAATTACTATGGCTGCAGCAACATTGCATCATGCTTTGGAGCTAATGTACAGCAATGCTAACACACGTGCAAAGTGTTTTGGAGAGGCAGGGGCTAGCTTTAACTAAGGGGTTTCTATTTCATATGAATAAATATACTCAGACATTTGCGGACACTCAGACTGATCTAGGGAGATGAAGGAAGAGAGATAAACAGAGGAGAGACCGATAGAGAGAGATGAAAAAGGGGAGGATAGACAGAGGCTTGATTGACGTATGTAGTTAAAGGAGCTGTGCACTTTGACTTGATTGCCTTATGAGCAAAACATTTGACTGTGTTCACTAGAAAATAAACAAATTGGAGCTATGATCTTATATTTGAGCCTGTTTGTTGGCCTGCTGATTTTTTTCTACCTTTTCTTCACATACTTCTTTTGGAATTGTGTCTAGCCCAGGTCACCTCCTCAGGCTGAAAAAATATTATTGTTTGCACATGAAAATTGTTGCTTAAATGAGTTTCTATAAAAAAAGAAAAAAAAACAGCTGCAGAAACTCATTTCCACCTCCAGTTAACCCTTTAACCTCAGCAAACATTTTAAAATTGGTTTTAAGATTAGATTTAGGGCTCTCTCTTCGTGCCTCGCAGGAGACGTGGCGCAGGCAAGGCGTAAGTCAGGTCCCCCGCGCCAACAAGGCGTTCCCAAGGAATTTGGTATTTTGTTGAGCGGCATAGCCAGGCGTAAGTATCTCCCCTCTCTAACTCAGCTCCTCCCAGTGGCGTAAGTCGTAGGGAGGGAGGAGAGAGGGCGTGGAGTGAGTTTAACACAGCCGAGACCTGCATTAACCAATAACATCATCTCCTTTCCTCGCCTTTAAATCCACCACTGGCGAGGCGTATTACAATTTTCGTGCAGTAGTCGAAGAGATCAAGAGATGGCTGCAGACAGCAATGCCACACGATGGCGACAGAAGGCAGCCCCTCAACAAGTGTCTCTGTAAGCGCTGCAGAGGGCATCCTGCATACTGTCTCATATAAGCACAGATGGATTTGGTGTGTGTAAGGTTGGATCCACTGGTAAGACAAACTTCCTTTTCTACGAACAAAGACACTCACATAAAGTTAAATATATTTAAACCTCATGTGACAAAGGTGGGTTGTGCGCACAGATCACAACATGAACTCCAATTATGGCATTAAAATAGGAACCATCTGTGCGTAAAGGATCCATCGCGCTCCATGGCCTGGCTCTTTCTTTCATTGATGTTGGCATATAAAATAAATTTGGCTAACAAAACTGAATATTATAATATTCGTACTTAGGAGCTTTTTAATACAAGATTTTCTCAGATTTTCTGTCCTACAGGCAAGTACCGCACTTTTGCCTTTTTCTGAGATATTGATGTTATTGTGTATGAATTTCCCACCCCAGAGTAATCAGTAGAGACTTGAACGCTCAGTTTTTCTTCCTCCCTATGTCTGCCAGCATTAATATCTCTCAGGTCCATTAGTCTCTGACAGTCTTCCAGTAAAGATCCTAAAGTGGAAGTGACCCATTGTCTTCTTCATACAGTAACAGCTCAGTCCAATCTGCTCCTCTCCTGGAACAAGTAAACAAGCTAATGGATTTTCCCAGCATGCAGTGCAGCGGCAGTAGCAGCAGCAATGTTTTTATGTATTGACTGGCAGTTACCTGAAGCCGATGGGTGTTGAGAGGGTTCGTGATGCAAATATGATATAAATAACATTAATAAGTAGAACTTTATTGATCCCTGAAGAGAAATTCAATAGAGAGAAAAAAAAGACAATCACATCCTAGCATGATTTGATTTTAACATGCCTTAACTTATTAGTAGGGATGAGCCTGAATAGGAACACGAAAGCCAAAATGCACAAAAAAAAAATGAGATGAATATGGATGTTTTCTATCTGTTGATACATGTATTATTTGGAAATTTCAAAAAAGAAAATCAGTTCTTGTGTTCATTGGTGCGGAGAGCTCTGCCTGAAGCCCTACAGCTCCACTTGTCTTCCTGTGCCGATGGATTCATTCACGAAGGCTGTGGTTCTTTTACAATCACACCTCTGTACCATTATCAAAACACGGCTGAGGCAATGTTGTTTTGTGATTCATTTTTGCCTTTTCCAAAAACCTCCAGTACAAAGTTGTTGCACTTAGTCCACATTATTGACATTATTCTAAAGACACTGAAGCCGTTGCCTCTTAAGTCTTCACTGACTGCACACCAGCAGGGCCAGGGCTTTCAAAGTTCAGCAGTGAAGGCCTCGAGGTTTGTGGGTGCATTTGTTTGAAACCATAGACTGTACATGGAATGGACAGAGTCTGCCAACTCGCTGGGTGAAGCCACTCTGAGAACATCACACCCTGGTGACGGGCTGTAGTATAGGTCATAAATCCCGCCTCCTCCAGCAATCCTTATGGGGCTATGGACAAAATTTATAAATTTATTACACAGAATATATTTTTTTCTCCCCCCTGGTTGTGATATTGAGCGCAAACCAGTCTTACAATAACTACATGTCAAGTCCTCTTTTTTATGTGCAGCCCCATTTTTAAAAGTTATTCGGAGGTTCATGTTTTCTATGATTGACACTTGGTACAGCCTATGGGCATACAAAGATTGTGCAGTTCACCTGGGAGATACACTGTTTGAGCTGAGTGTCATCACAACAAAACTCTCCCACTGAATGCACACAATGCCACTGTGGTGGAGTGCATATAATGCTGCTGCGCAATGTTGGTTTCAGGAAGTGAAGAAAAACCGCGGAATTACCAAGAGCTTTCGGCTCTAAATCTGTATACTGGCGGAAGTCGGAACCAAGATGTCCATAGAATATACAGTCTATGGGCTCTATTTTCATGTCCGCCGGGGAGGCTGCGGAGGGTGGCGGACCCTGCGCAGTGGTATTTTCGTCTGGCGGGGAGCCCAGAGTACAGCCAGTTTGGTATTTTCATGGACTGAGGCGTACCGAGGTCCGCCAAGCTGGGCGTGGTGGTGTGGCAGGGGGAGGTGTCGACAGAATCAGCTGGTACAGTGACATTTTCATGTTCGAATTTATGTTGTGATCTGTGCGCACAACTTACCTTTGTCATGTGAGGTTTAAATATAAGCAACTTTATGTGAGTGTCATTATTTGTGGAAAAGGGTGTTTGTCTTATCATTGGGTCCAACATTACATACACCAAATCCATCTGTGCTTATATGAGACAGTGTGCAGGACGCCCTCTGCAGCGCTTACAGCGACACTTGTTGAGGGGCTGCCTTCTGTCGCCATGGTGTGGCATTACTGTCTTCAGACATCTCTTGATCTCCTTGGCTACTTCACAAAAATTGTAATTTGCCTCGCCAGTGGCAGATTTAAAGGCGAGAAGAGGAGCTTATGTGATTGGTGAAAACAGGACTCGGCTGTGTTAAACTCACTCCACGCCCTCTTTCCTCCCTCCCTACGACTTACGTGACAGTGATAGTAGCAGTGACAACAGGTCTTGAGCTTCTTTAAATGTATTGATACTCTGTGAGACCCTCTGGTCTTTAGGGGGACCATTCCATAGACTGGGAGTCATAACAGTAAAAAGCTGTATCACTGTGAGTCTTTGTCCTGACTTTTGGTACAATAGTCCACATTCCCACAGCAGTCATCTTCTTGATACCTCACACTCAGGCTGGGAAACTTGTCTCCTGTTTTCTTCTATTATTACAATGTACCAGTTTCTCGTATAAACCTTAATAATCTGACAGACTGTGGTAATTTCACAACTCTCTGACTGATGAGCAACCTCACAGACTGACACTATCAAACTGCTTCCACTACAAGTCACAGACAGAAAATTGTTTACTATGAGGAGGAGGAGGTATAGTTGATTATTATTCACATAAGAAAAGTAAATCAGTTTGATGCTTTGATGGCACAACTGCACAGCAAGGATTAGCACGGCTTCCTTTAGTCAAATGTTCTTTTGGAATTAGATTAGGCCTGTTATACCATCATTGATGGTAACAGCTGCAAGAAAACTAAACAACATTTTAAAAAAAAAGCACTTTCAGTATGAACCACACTCACTTCTGATTTCCTTCTGATTACAGACACAGATGATGATGTGGTTGAACAGATACAGATAATAACATCTCTGGCACACCCCTGCTTAGGTGGTAATTTATTTGAACATTAGTTACTTTAGTTGTTATCATGGTCTTCATCTCTCTCTCTCTCTCTCTCTCCGTGTGTGTGTGTGTGTTTTTGACCTGCAGCGTTTTAGCATGGAGGGACTGTCCAACATCCTGCAGACGGGCATCAGACAGACATTTGGAAGCACAGGGAATAACAAACAGGTAAGAGTCAGTGTATGACACTTAAGCACCTTTAGCAGAATTTGTTTTCAAACTAGAAAAAACATTTATACGACAGCAAAAATTAATACAAAAACTCTTAGCACTAGCTGCTGTTCACACTTGCAGCTGAAACTCGTATAACACTGACACTCTTATAACATTCATCAAACCAGAAACTATTATTTACGATTTTCAGAAAAGAAACTGCATATCTTGAAGGGTGTAGAGCTGCTTATCCTAACAGGCGACAAATTCGTTCCATTGTTGTTGTCTTTGTAAAAATTCCCCTTAAAGAAGACCTCTTCTACTGGTTTTCACTTTTCAACGTGTCAATGAAAACCCTTAGTTCAACTTTCTTTAGCCTCTGCCTGAAACACCTCCTTTTACCGCCTATGGGTGTTACTTTTTACACAGCTTTCTAACAACCTGAAAGTTATGGTTTTACATAAAACATCAAAAAGTCACAAACTTATTTCAAGGAACTCATCAAGATTCAGAAAGTTATATTTGACTTAAATTAAGACAAAGTCACTTGGTAGAATGATGTTTTTTGCAGTGTGGATATCATCCAATCAGGTTACAATTATGCAGTACGTTTTTACCATAGACTGTATATACTATGGACAACTTGCCTCTGCTTTCCGTCATTCTATGAATTTGAAGCCAAATTACTCTCTGTATTATGACCTCTACTGCAGCCTGTCACCAGAGGATGCTGTTCTCATGGAGGCTTCACCCAGCAAGGAGGCAGACGACGCCCATTCTATATACAGTCTCCTACTGATGCGGACTAAAATGTAACAAAGTAAAACACTTTCCACAGTCAATTCTTAAGTAATAGTCAAAGTGCTCACTAAAAGCTGCCCTTGAAAGTACAAACACACAAAAATGATAAATACAGTTGGCTACTTTACACCTTTGGCAGTCTCCAAACCCATACTCACAGGTGAGGTCATACATAGGTGAGTGTCACTTAATCTCTGTTTATATAAAGTGCTGTATGATAGGATACCCCTTAAAGCATGCAGCCAGATACACACAAATACATTCAAACTTATGAATGGGATTGTCATTTTGTGTTTCTAAGCTTGTAGAGGTTAAATATTGAAACCTCTAACGGTTTTTGAAGGGACTGCTGGATGTAAACAAACCATCAAAAACATTAAGGGCTTACTCAGGCTGTGTATTAGTGCTGTATTAAAAGATCTGCCAGTGTGTGTGGGAGTGTAAGCAGATTCCAGTTCTGTGGCTGTGCTCCTGTATCCATATCTGCACAACTTTCACTATGTCAAGAAAAGATTTAGTTTGTCCCACTAATTCAAATTAAGTATGCCACAGATGCCTGTATATGCAGGGCTATATGCAAGAGTCTTATTTTTTACTTTGTGTGAACATCAGACTTTTAGACTCATCTAATCAGGCAATTAATCTTTGTTTATATTGTGTAGTTTAGACCAGCACTCCTCAAACTTTTTTCAGTCACGACATGTTTCAAAAGTGCATAAAACCTCATAACAACACAGTGTAAAATAAAGTTCAAATTACACTGCATAGCCTAAATAATCCGTGTCATTTATTCATCCATTTTTCACAACAAAACTAAACTTAAAAAACGAAATAATGACTTGTTTTCCAAATATTTGAAAACAAATTTGTAAAACAAATGAATGAATTATACATGGATTCCAAATGCAAATGTCCTGTTTATTTAGACAGGACAATATTGATGAACAGAGCATAATACGAACTGAAAATCCACCAGAGATAAGCAGGAATGTTTCTTTCCATACATAGTGCTAGTTTCCATCCGTGCCTCTGCAGCCTTCCCTACACATACACATACGTGCATGTGCGCACACACATACCTGGAGCTGAACCAGATTCATCTGCTGAGACTGAAAAGAGAGAGAGATTGACAGATGAGAGACTGATAGAGAGAGACAGAGAAAGAGAGATTGACAGAGGAGAGACCATAGACTGTATAAAGAATGGACAGCTTCTGCCTCCTCGCTGGTTGAAAACCACTCTGAGAACAGCACCCTCTGGTGACGGGCTGCAGTATCTGTCATAAATCCCGCCTCCGCCAGCAAAGCTTATGGGGCTGTGGACAAACTTCAGAAATTTATCACACAGAACATAAATATTTCTCCCCCTGCTTGTGATGTTGACATGTAGTTATTGTAAGACTGGTTTGTGCTCAAGTCCTCTTTTTTCTGTGAAACTCTGTTTTTAAAAGTTATTAGGCTGTATCAGGTGTCAATCATGAACTCCCTATGGGCATTCAGGGATTGCGTAGCTCTCCCGGGGGGATACACTGTTTGAGCTGAGCGTCATCACAGTGACTATTGGCGACTGCGCGGCCGAATGCATGCATTGTTACTGCGCAGTGCTGGTTTTAGGAAATGAAGAAAAATCCCGGAAATATCAAGAGCTATTTGGCTTCAAATCCGTATACAGGCAGTAGGCGGAACCAAGTTGTCCATATTATATACAGTCTATTGGAGAGACTGATAGAGAGAGATGGAGAAAGAGAGATGAACAGACATAACATTCTTCTAATAACATAATGATGATCCTTGTCATTTTAAGACTACATTTATATAACATAATGTCTTTACTCCAATTACATTATGACTTCATTCTAGCAACATCATGACATTAAACTACTTTAAAGCCCATAAGAGTTTTTTTAATCATTTGTTCAAGAAACAGACCGAAATTAATGGTCTCCAAAAGGAGACAAAATTGAAATGTTTTACAATGTAATTTTTATCGTATTCAATGAGTGTGAGAGAGTAGGTGTCAGCTGAGCAGCTGAAGAAACAGCAGTCAAAAATCAGCAGTATGAATTTTTTGAGAATCGCTAAATCGTGTGGAGGACAACAAAGGCAAAGACTGCTTTGTCCACATGGGGCACCAAATTTGACACAAATCAAATGTTTAGTAAAGGAGCTTTAATCAAACAGTCGCTGTTGATGACACTTAGCTGATAATGGCACTTAGCTGAAAATGACAAAACTTGACTGAATCAATATTAATCCAGTTCACACCCTCTTAATTTCGTGTGTCTGCAGTACCTAAACACAGTTATTCCCTATGAGAAGAAAGGCACCCCTCCATCTGTTGAAGACCTGCAGATGATCACAAAAAGTAAGTAACCAGAAAGAACATCCAAAACGAGAAAAGTGTGTACCCAGAGCTTAAATGGTCTATCGTCTCTTCACTTAGTTCTCCATGCCATGAAGGAGGACAGTGAGAAGGTGCCTACACTGCTAACTGACTACATACTGACAGGTAAACACAACAAGCTCCAAAATATCCACTAAAACAGTCCATTTATCATTCATCATACCAGAGCTGAATTTTATGAATCGATCAACACATTCCTGGCTGAGATTAGCTTTTATACTACAGTGTAATGTGCGTGGAATAATAATGTGATAATATGCCTTTTTTCTCATTTTTGTGGTCGCTTTTTACCCCCAATATTGTTGTGTTTTTTCAGTGTTAATAATTTCATCCAAAGTCCCTTACAACAACAGTTTAATGTGCAAAATTCATGTTTTTTCTTTTAATTGATTCAAATTTGTATTTTTCATTTCTTTGATACAATGGAAGTTGTCTGAGCTGTTTAACTGACAACATTAAATGACTAAACAGTTTCAGCATTATATATGTAGGCCATCAGCTGACCTGCTTTCTCATAACTGGTGTGGGCATTGACCATTGGAAAACTGATCCCCTGACCCCGTAACAATCACCTCACAAAAGGAAAAATTTGACACTGTACTGAGATTTCATTTTTCCTCTCTGTATCTTCTCTCCAGTCTTGTGTCCCACCTAAAGCTCCTTCAGGCTGGGGCCACAGAGTGACGGAAACTCCTCCTACCATCCTACCACTCCCCCACCCCCTGCCTCCTGAGGCCCAAGCTGCATGATCTCCCTTCTTTTACCATTATCAACATGGACCCTCACCATCAACGTTATTGTATTCACCTCGACCTTTGACTACTGCCTTTTGCTGAGCTTTCCCGTTCCCTTCCTGCACATTAAGCTCAGGCCAGATGCAAAATGGCTGCTGTCTGAATTGTAAAGCCAGATGGCCAATCCTGCTTTTCAAGGACTTCACTATTCTGATACAGGGATACAACCTTATCACCGCTTTATTTCCTTTATTTTGTTACTTTTCTTAGTTTCTTTGGTCTAATCTCAATGTTGCTATGTTTAACTTGTTTTTTTTGTTTTTTTTTCCACTGAAGTCTTTACCTCCAGGTTCTGATCACGTTTTTCATCAAAGACTACACTGTTAAATCAATAAGGACTCACCTGTGATCATATCTGCGTAAAGGTTTAGATCATCTGAATACAAAAGCCATGCACCTTTCCTGCCAACTTAGTACTGTAGCTTCATGAGGATGAGAGGGGACACAAAAGTATTACGGGTGCAGTACAGCGCTTTACTATGCTCTTTCTCTTCTTTGTCTTTATGTTGTCACTGTGGAAAACTTCAGTGCTTTTTTTACTTTCTTTGAAATTATTTTTTAATTTATATCTGAATATTTGGTATGACCTTTGTTGCTGATTTTCTACTTTCATTTAAAGTGTAATCAGAGGGGCTGTTTTGAGTGCAGTCCACCCTGTTCAGCCTTCTGGAGGTGTTTCACTGAGTGTTATTCAAATATACAAACCCCCCTCCAATGAGATGAGCTCATGTCAATAAAGGCATGCATATTAGCATATTTATGGTTTCTTTGCACCATGTAGGTAAATGTTACATCACTAATCGCAAATTCTAATAAACATTCGGCCCTGATGTTGATGTGGTTGCTTATTTTCAACTTTTTTTTTTAGTTGAGCAGGCAACAGGTTTAACATTGTTAAGACAAAAAGCTGTTTGCATGACAAGAATATCAAAGTGTCAAGTGCCATCTCTGATTTAACTGAAATATTTTTTTGTGAAAGAAAAAAGTAAAGACAGGACAGGGACAAAAATCCACAGAAGCAAAGAACAGGTAGATGTTTTCAAGAGATTCACAATCTGCTGATGTCATGAATTCTGTCAATCTTGTGCAGATCCCACTAAGTTCTCTAAGTGGTTTTTTTGGAACAAAGCTGTTCAGTCTCATCCTTAGAACATCAATAACCAACCTATATATACACTACAGGCCAAAAGTTTGGAAGCAAAATCAAATCTGTACAAAAAAAGATCATAATACTTTGCAACAAAAAAAACCTGATAATTATCTAAAGAAAAACTTATCAGAAGACATTTTGACTATAATTAATAGGTTTTTGAGTTATTGTTGCTTAGACCTTGCCGTCTTTAAAGTAACCTCCTCCGGCTTTAACAACAGCTTAGCATATACCAGGCATTCGTTCCACAAGTTTTTTAAGGTATGTATTTTAAGTTCATTAAAAAGAGACTGCTGATTCGTGGAACGTGTTTTTCTGACCGATCACTCCAATTCATCCCACACAAGCTCAATTGAGAAAGTTCTGGGGCCTCATTTATAAGGCTTGCTTATGCAAGCTAGTGTAGGAATGTGCGCAACTTTAAGCAAACTCCACGCCTTGCATACGCACTTTTTGGAGACAATCGGAGCAAGGTGAGAACAAATGGTTAATGGAAAGCGCGCATATAAAAAGCCATACAGTGACAGTCGTGCGCAATGCCGCACAAGTTTCAAGTTTTATTGGTCACATGCCTAAATGTACAGGTACAGTGCCAAAAAAACATAATAATAATGTAAAGTCTGCTCAGAGGGTGTTGTGAAGTCAGTTATGGGGTGTGTGTTATGAGGAGTTCAGGATCCGTGTGGCCTGGGGGAAGAAGCTCCTTTTCAGCCTCTCAGTCCTGGCTCGGATGGAGCGAAGCCTCTTACCCGAGGGCAGCCACTCAAACAGTCTGTGGTTGGGATGGTGAGTGTTTGATAATCCGTCTTGCCCTGGACCTGCACCGCTGGGTGTAGATCAGAGGGGAAGCTCATTTTTCTGGCCTACATATAATTGTGTTTGTTTATTTGTATGTAACAGAACAGAGTCGCCAAACACAACGGCAGTTGTTTTTAACAAAGACAAAAGTCGCTGAGGATCGGTAAAGTCTCTGGAGCAGTTAAGAACAACGGAATGAATAACTTGGAAAATGCTTTGGTAGATGTTTTATTCTTCAAGATCGCTGATTCGCTTGTTTAGCTGTCAATCAAAAAAGGATTTTGCCTCAGACAGCTCATCCAATCATGGATGCAGAAGCTCGGAGTCCGGGAGAAGGTCGGGACTGCCCTCTCGCCATAGAACTCCAGAGACGCCGAGCGTCCGATTGGCGGGACAAAGCCCAGCATTTATCCAATGAGCGTCTAGTTTCGCTGCTGGAACAACCCCCTTTGAGCTTCCACATTGAAGTCAGCAGAAGCCGAGCGTCCGGCTGTTTAAAGCGCTGAGGCGCTGCGAGGATGAATGAGAACGAAGTTGTGCAGAATCAGCTTCTTATCACACTGTGATAAGAAGCTGATTCTGAACAAAAGATGAAGGCTTTCTAGCGCGTATTTAGTTAATGAAATGTACACACAGCAGTACGTATTTCACCACTTTTTCTTTTTTGGGGGGGTGACATTTTAAGGGAAGCTGAGCTTCCCTTGCAGTCTTAGAGCAATCGCCACTGGTGTAGATGTCCTGGAGGCCGGGCAGTGCAGTCCGGGTGATGCGTTCAGCACAACGGATGACTCGATGCAGGGCCTTTCTGTCCTGAGAGCTGCAGCTGCTGTACCAGGCAGTGATGCCCGCAGAAAGCACAGACCCCACTGTGGCGGTGTAGAAAGTTTGCCAATTTGAATTTACAAATGTGCAAAAAAACAAATTTCATTTACATGCATTTGTTTTAAGATTAATATGACTAAATCTTTTTGGTTTACGTACTTTTACCACATAAGCAGCGGTGGATAACAGAGCCGGTTTTTTTTTGGAACACATGTATGAGTGTCACACGTGCTTGTGTTTTCTGATCCTCACCTGTCGCCGCCACGCTCTGACGGTGCAAAGCCACATTTTTCTTTGATACACCTTTAGATCAGACCACTTCTTGATTTTGGCAACGCTGCGCTCAGTGCCAGCCGCACTTTCCGCCACGGCAACGGCGTGCCATTCGGTGGCTTTTCTTTTACTGGTGATGCAACTCGAAATGCGGTGATGCGTGAAATGCCATGGATCCATCAAGCTTATTTATATGCAAATCACATTCATGAGGTAATTTGCATGACCATACATGGTGAGTTTTGGGTGTGGAGAGGGCGGGGCATGAATCAAATCCCTGCTGCGCAACTTTCCAGCTGGTCTGTGATTTATAAAGGGAAAGTGCATGCAGGTGTGCATTTTTTTGCCTACGCACTTTTCAGCTTTTCGACTTAAGTACACTTTTAGTATGGATCCTACGCCAGGTTTTATAAATGAGGCCCCTGGAGACTGAGGGGGCCAAACCATCTTTTGAAGAACACTTTCCTCTTTTTTTTGTCTAGGTAACCCTGACAGAGCTTGGCAGAGTGCTTAGGGTCATTGTCTTGCTGCAAAACAAACTTTGGACCTACAAGTCTTAGTCCAGATAGAGCAGCATGGTGCTGGAGGATGGAATGGTACTGTTCCTTCTTCATGATACTCTTAACTTCAAACAAGTCTCCTACTCTATCACCTGCAAAACATCCCTATACCATGGAACTACCACCTCCATGCTGAATTGTGGGTGTGACACATGGTGCTTTCAGACATTCACCAGTTTGTCTGTGGACATAGACTCTGCGTTTTGAACCAAACAGTTCAAACTTGTTTCTAGTCATCATAAGTCCAATTTTTGTGAGCTTTTGCCCACTCATATCTCTTTTTCTTGTTCTGTGGACGAAGTAGTGTTTTTTTTGCAGATACACAACCCTTCAGACCAGCCTTTCACAAACGTCATTTCACGGTTGTCAGAGATATGGGTTTCGACCTTGTCATGTTGATTTCTCCCTTATTTTTGGTGCTGTCTTTTGCCAATCTCTCTTACTGGTGACAATGCTTTGTTTATCCTCTGCTTTTGTATTAACTCTCTTTTGTCCAGGCACACACTCAAAAGCCAGTAAGTAAAAGTGAATAATGTGAAGTGATTAGTTTTTTTTTTTACTTTTACACTGAATTTGTGACTCTAGCTAATCTTCTTGAACCTAAAACTAAGCCCTTATTATCTTTTGCTGACATATATTCAGCAATGGTCTGTCAACATCAATGTATACCTAAAGGTAAATTGAGGAAAATGGTGCATATCAATGAAAGCAAAGTCTAGTCATGCAATAAATACATCCCAAAATACATTTAACTTATCCATTTTTTATGAAAGGCATTGTGAACAGAAACTTGAAGTAGTTTCCAAATGTTTGGCCTGTTTTGCTCTTGCTTCCAAACTTTTGGCCTGTAGTGTATATCTCACGATTTCAAACTTTGCTAACCTTTTGTATGAACATCCTTCATTTTCTAATTGTAAAATTTGAAAAAAGCATGGAACAACCTTTTTAAAGTGTCTTTTAAAATCAGGATTATTCCTCTTTAGCTTGCTTTTTTCAAAGAGTGGAAATTTGCTGCCCTCTAGTGGATACATCAAGACTTGTAGGCTGGCAATGCTCAGAAAAACACACACACACACATAGGGCTCTATTTTCGTGCGCGCCGGTGAGGCGGCGGAGGGCGGCGAGCCCCGCGCAGTTGTATTTTCGTCTGGCGGAGCCCAGCGTAAGGCCAGTTTGGTATTTTCGTGGCATGAGCCGCACGGAGGCGAGCCGAGATCCGCCAAGCTGGGCGTGGTGGCGTGGCAGGGGGAGGTGTCGACAGAATCAGCTGGCGCAGTGACATTTTCGTGCTCGCCAACGGCGTGTAAAGTGCGCTGAAAGCTCGCCGATTCAAACCTGGTCAGCTTTCAGCGCAAGGCGGAACGCAGCTGGTCTTGTAGTATTTTGGTAGACCGGCGGCGTATCGACATACGTCACTGATGCCTCACCGGCAGGTTTCCACAGTGTCAGGCACATTACAGTGCAATAAATAATCATCATCAACTATTAATAAGTCAGCACATACATTTAGATCCATATAGATATATTCTGATCTATATCTGATCTGATGAGCACGTTTGGCACGCGTTTGGACACGCAACCTGACCGAATCAACACAGCTGAAACCGCATCAAATTAAATTAAATATCTAGTAAATAAACACACATGATGAAGTTAACAAGATATGTAATTCGTCTCCCTCCTTTTCTTTCTTCCTCTTATTTCTCGCACAGCTCGACCTGGACACGTCTCCGTGTCCTCTGTCCGTCTTGCTCCTGCTGCAGCTGAACAGATGATTTGTTTCAGTGCTCAGATGCGTTATCTACTTTAAGCCGACATACGGATATTATAATATTCAGTTTTGTGGGCCAAATTTATCTTATATGCCAACATCTATGAAAGAAAGAGCCAGGCCACGGAGCGCGATGCGTCATTTACGCACAGATGGTTCCGATTTTAATGCCATTTTTTGAGTTTATGTTGTGATCTGTGCGCTCAACCCACCTTTGTCACGTGAGGTTTGAATATGAGCAACTTTATGTGAGTGTCTTTATTTGTGGAAACGGGTGTTTGTCTTACCAGTGGGTCCAACATTACGCACACTAAATCCATCTGTGCTCATATGAGAGAGTGTGGAGGACACATGTTGAGGAGCTGCCCTCTGTCGCCATCTTGTGGCATTACTGTCTTAAGACATCTCTTGATCTCTTTGACTACTCCATGAAAATAGTAATACGCCTCGCCTGTGGCGGATTTAAAGGCAAGGAGAGGAGCCTATGTGATTGGTGAAAACAGGTCTCGGCTGTGTTAAACCAACTACACGCCCTTTCTCCTCCCCATCTACGACTTATGGTGCTGGGAGGAGCTGAGTTAGGGAGGGGGGATACTTACGCCGGGCTGCGCGGCTCACCAAAATACCAAAATGTGCTTGGGAACGCCTTGTCAGCGCGGCGGATCTGACTGACGCTGCGCTTGCGGCACGTCTCCGGCGAGGCACCAAAATAGAGCCCATACTGTATGTCATTGTATGATACAAGCACTTTTTTTTTCAATTTCATTACTTTAGTTTTTTAACATTTATTAAAACACGGTCCTTGACACAAAGTCTCACACACAGCATATCATAAACAACTTGTACAGAAAATATACCAATGTGTAACCAACTGAGCTAATCATTTAAAATAACATTTAATAAAATACAAAAAACTGTGGCAAACAAACTAGCATATAAGAGGAAATGTTACATACTCAGAGATGTGTAAGGGGATAAAGTTAGTAACAATTGTTAAAAAAGAAAAAGAACCCAGGTTTAGTAACAACATCCAGGCAATTAAAACAGAAATGTTTGTTCTCAAAGGTTAAACAATTAATCAAGCAATATGCTGAGAAAACCACCAGTACAACACAAAGAGTAAGCTGTAGTAACTAAGGGTACAACTAAGGCACTGCAGGCTTCACTGCCACTGGAGGCCTGCTCAGTTTGACCATCACTGTACCACACCAGAGTCACACACTCTTTGAAACAGGTCCACACAGGACTGCTGACAGAGGAGGAAATGAGAGCGAGAGAGGGAGACCACAGCACTCTCTTCCTTTATATATGCTGTGTCTCATTTCAGATACCGCACCGTCGAACGGCACATTTCAAGTGTGTGTGATGTCATCACGTGGCGCGAACAGTGTCCCATTTGGCTCGTAATTCTGAGTGCGCTTCAAATGCGGTTTCAAAACCACACTGCCCCTGCCCCCTTTTCAAGCGACGCAACGCGTCTTCAAAGAAAATAAAAGAAATGCAAAAACAGCAGACAGTCAGCTCAGGCTGTATGAGCGCATGATCGCTGAACTCACTAAAATCTGTAAACCAAACATTATAGTCTCTAGAACAGAACTGATCCGCTCTGCTACCACAATCAAAAACATTAGGAATACAGTAAGAACGCTGCCAAAACTACATCGGAGTATCAGGGAGACATTTTTTTAAAGACTTAGGGATTAAAGTTGTAAATTTAGGAGAATAAAGTCATAAAGTAAATAAAGTCAGAAAGCTGCTTTTGTGGAGGGGGAAATGTGTGGAGCTGGTCAACTGCAGGGTTATCGGTGGATGCATCAGCGGGTCATTCAGAGAGTTTTTGTGTTTTTTAAAGATACAATCAAACTGATGACATTTGAATCCAGAGGGAGTCGTGCTCCGATGAGCACTACGTTTCTGACACCGGCGGTAACCTAGACTTGCAGAGACACCAACGCCTTATTATGGCATATGGATTCATATCATAAACTAACGGATTTCTCCTCAGCATATCCATTTCTGCCTCCACAAAACAAGCAATTTACTCCAAGTCCACCTATATATTTTTTTTTTCCATGGAAAAGTCGTATTTCTCATATATTCTTTTTAAAGTCCTTATACTTGACAATGTATTGCTGATGTGCCAAAGGATGAAGTATCTCCTTGTTTGTGAAACCTGTACTGAAGCACAGTTCCTTCAAATGCTTCATGGCCCTAATTATAATAACTCTCCTTTGAAATAACAGGTAACCTTACAACTTTATTCTCATAAATTAATGACTTTATTCTCATAAATTCACGACTTTAATCTCAAAGTCTTTAAAAAAAATTCTCAATATGGCCCTCATACTCATACAAAATATGCAATCATTGGATGAATTTTGTGGAAATGATCTGTGCTTGTATGTATCTATTGTTTTGTGTCTGTGCAAGGTCGCACAATTAAAAAATAGCTGCTGTGCTCCGCAGCTTTTCTTTAAGTCAGTCGTGACACGAGACTGAGGCCAGGGACATTTGGCGACTAAACCAGAAAGTCCTCCGAACGGTAGACCGTCCTAATTCACAAAAAAACGCACCATCTCACCCAGGGTCCTCAAGTCCACATAACGGCAGTGCACTCAGCAGAGTCTGCTACTCATCAGCAAATCAGCCACACCTCTACTGCAGTGGAGAAACCTGCAGGGAGAGACAGAGACAGAGAAAACAGCACACAAACACCCAGGGCATGTAACACCCCTTCCCATAAGAACAAACTAGCATCATTACTAGTTTCTAACAAGGATCCATTACTATACATACTTACATTTTTTTTTTTTTGGCAGCAATTCAACTAATGCACATTCTGAATGTTCTCACCAATGGGATAGTGCATCAGCCACTATGTTGTCAGCCTCTTTTCTGTGCTGGATGGTGGGGTCGTATTCTTGGACCAGGGTGGTATTCTATGAAGCTGGCTTAGCTCAAAGCCTGGCTCATTTCAGTTAGTCTCACCAACTTTAGTGAGAGTTAAGGTCATTTCACACCGGGACCGTGTTTTTCATGCCAAAAATTTCAGACCTAAATTTTTTTTTCGAACCTGTATCCTGTCAATACAAGCGTTCACATCAGCGACGTTTTCCTGTCCTGCAATATTGTGGCATTTATTTTTTCGGATCACGGTCGATTTTTCTTAAGTTTCGCATACTGTGTGTCTACTTCTGACCAATCAGATTGCGTGTTGTTGCGATGTCTGATTCACCGGTATATCCAACATGGCCGACCAACTGATTGTTAATGTGTCGGAGAACAGAGTGCTTTTTGATAAAGGACACAAACATTACAAAGAAAACAACCTGAAGAACAACTTGCGGAGAGTCATAGCGTCAGATTTCTCATATGACGATGATTTGTGTGCTTTAACAGTTTTTTTTAACGTCTTTGTTTTAACTTTCATCTGTGCTAAGTAACTTTAGCTCGTAAGCTAACCTATTCAGATACAACATACCATTAGTATTTTCACTGTCTCAAACTTAATCACAGCGTTGCTGTCACAGTACCATTAGGTCTCGGTTGTTACCTTAGGTAAATGGATTATAGTTTAATGTGCTTATCTGGTACTAGCCCTGACTCAGTACATGCTATCATGACAGACAGACATCTCAATCAATCAATCAATCAATCAACTTTATTTGTATAGCACATTTAAAATAACCACAAGGGTAGCCAAAGTGCTGTACAGTGACATAAAAACAAATAAAACAATCAAAAAACAAGATAACGCAAGCAGAAATACAGTAATGCAAAAGAATAAATAAGTGTATAAATAAGGAGGCTCACAGCAAGTGCTAAAATGATAAAAAACAAATTAACACTACAATGTACTAAAAGCCAATGAGTAAAAGTGCGTTTTTAAAAGGGATTTAAAAACAGGAAATGAGGAGGCCTGTCTAATTTTCAAGGGCAACTCATTCC